AATCATCAAAATAAATAAGTTTAACAAAGAGCATTCACATCAGTCTCAACAAATTTTGAACCAAATTATAACTCAAAATCTACTTTTGTATTTTAGCTAATCTCTTTTTTATGTATACACTCCATCAAACTCTTTATTCTAAAATTCTATTTCATTAAAATATTATTTTTTATTCTTTTATCTTTTTCAATTTAAATATATTTTTTCCATTGCACCATAGTAGCAGCACAGAGCAGCAACCAAATGAGGCAAATCCACTGAGGGGCGGTCAACCGACTGATCGACTGGTCGGACGGTCGAGCGATCAACCGATCAGGCCAAAATTCAACAAAACTTCCTTCTCTACAGGGACATCCGAATGGACATTCGGGAGAACGTCCATTGGGTGAGAAAATATAGTAAAAAATAGATTAACCTGTTTGAAAAATCTAAAAATTCCCTAGATATTGATTTGTGATTATGTATCAATTTAAAGCAGTGATTAACAATTTCAATCAAACAATCAAGACAAATCAACACAACGATTTTAACATGGAAAAATTACAATTGGAGCACCTCCAATTGTGATAAAAAAAAATCACGGGCAATAGCCACAAAACAATCCACTACGAAGACATAAAGGAATTATACAAGTGTACTCTCAATTACCTAGCGAATCTACGCTCGAATCGAACCGACCCCAATGTGTCTCTTCCGACCCCCTCTTCACCTCGGAATTGTTTTGCCCAACGTTGAATCCACAACGTCGATGTCGAATCCACAACAATGAGCCACTCCAGAATCTACCAAAGTTTCAGGCCCAAATTCCCCCGGAACTCACCAGAAAATAACTCTCTCTTTTGTATTGAATGAAACAAACAATCCTTTTATGTATACTTCTCAAACCATGAATTAAACTCAAACAAACATCAAAGAAACTAGCAAAGAAGCTCCAGATATAAACCCTAATATCCAAGAAGAAGATCTAGTACCCGTAACCCTAAAAACGGATGAAATCACATATTTATAGAAAACCGATCTCCGATCCCCAACATAGTCAGTAAAATGAAAAACATGAAAGAATAGACATCACAAACTTCTCTGTAAGGGTACAATTCGAGTTGGATTCGCATCTAAAACTCACAGCCTCACTAAAATAAAGTATCGAATAAAATTGCAACTACAAGGAGTTTTGTCAAACGGAATTGTCAAGAATAAAACCTAACAATCTCCCCCGTTGGCAATGCCGTGACAAAACGCACTTAACAAATAAAATCCTAATCACCTCAACCCATTACAGCCAAAAAAAGTAAACTACTTTCTCAATGTCATGATCTGCAAAACAGCTATTAGTGCCACAATCTCCAAAACAACTATTAGTACCACAAAAGTATATGAAAAAATAATAGATATATGAATAGATGTAAATTGGAGATTTTCAAAACATGTAACATGAATACATGAAATCCTAAGACACTTGCACTCGACACATGCACTCGCCAACATTGTTCCCCTTGTTTGTCACGAATTGTCAAAGGAAGCTCAAACAACAAAATTAAAAGCACAAAACACATAAACAAGAGTATGATGATGTAATTATCAGTAGCATACAAGAAGGAAACAATAAGGAAGCAATGCATAGCAACAAGCAAACCAACTAATGCAAATCTCCCATACCAAACCAACCAATAGATGTTCATGCTAAAAAAAACACTTGCAATGATTAACCAAACTCCCCCTCACGTAAAGCAATGATAGACCAAACTCTCCCTCACTCAAAGCAACCAAAACCACTGAAAACAATGAACAAGAAGAAAACGACAAAAAGAATATGGTGGAGCATGTAAGGAATTTCATATTTGTATCATAAAAACACATAAGAGTATCCAAGAAATACAATTACTTGAAAACACAATGTGCACAGGCTGTAGAAGATTCCTCATGAAAGAAAGTGATGCATTATGTGAAAAGCATAGATCTCATGATAAAAGTATGTGTGTGACTCTTGGAATTCGATAAACACAAGATTCAAATCCTAGTAGTGATCTGATAGCTAGACCTCCAGCAAGAGAATCTAAGCACAACTAAGAAAAGTCAAACCACTAGAAATTAAGGGGTATTTGGTGAATAAAAGTGGAGGCTCTCCCTCAATCAATAAATCTTTTTTTTCTTTCTTTCTTTTGCACATTTTTTTTCTTTCTTTTGCACACTCATTGGCGGCTGACATGCTCAAGAGTATGGAAACCGAACCAGAGAAGCATATAGACAATAAGGATAGCCTGGTTGGTGACTCTAAGGTAGCCTTTTCCTCATACCTTAACTGTAAAGAATTGAGAGGAAAGCCATAGAGATGCAAAAAGGTGGAAGGTGGTTAAGAGACTCAACATCACCTATGATGTGCTAGTATACGTCAATCACTCTAGAAAAACAAAAGACACACTGCTAAACGTCCATAGAGAAAATTGACCGCAAAGGCGGAAGATTTCGATATTTGCTAATTCAAGAGTGTGTACAAAATGAGACATACTAATCAAACTACACACACTCCAAAATGAGTAATGACCACAAAAAGCACACACATATTAACATGTAATGGATATTCTCATCAATTCCAATATGTACCAAGGACTTCTCAAAAATTTCAAGCTTGCAAAACTATACTAAGAAAATCATTTTGGATTTTTTTTTTTTAAAAAAAAGAAAAAAAAAACAAAGCAAGATAGAAAACAAACAAGCACTCATTAAATGACTCAAAAAGAAAAAAACACACAGAAGCCCAAAAACTAAAACGAATAAACAAATTAACACAAATCAAGTTTTCTCACCCAAACCGCTTTAGTATGAACAAAGTTGTGAGAATTGCAATTCTTAGGTCGTGTCTTGACGTTGTGATTCCCTTCAACTTCATTGGGAACCTGTCTCGACTTGGTGTCCAACTTCCTATTTCTAGGTCTAGATAAACAAAACCTCTGTTCATGTTTGGTCTTAAGCAAATCAAAATAACGATGTCTAATATGACCCTTAACCTTATTACCACCAATGAAGTGGCTCCTACCCCACGAGATGTTGGAATTTCTTTCATCTCTATGAGACATTCTCCTATGCAACTCATAACAATAATGGAAAATATGACCATACATACCACAATGATGACAAATAAAAACAGGGTATACCTTCGTTTCTTTGATCTTACTAACTCTATGAAGATTGAGAAATCTTTCCTCTCGTTGAATCTTTGGCTCCCCCTGCCCTTGAGTTCTTGTATCATGAGATGTGGATGCACTCCGTTTTTGCTATTTATTATCATCTAAGCCAATGTCACTCTTGTCATAACACATTTGTTGAGACCTAATGATATTGTCCAAAGTCTTTGATCATTTGTTCCAAAGACTAATGGTAGCCATAACACACTTGAGCTCTTTCTCTTTCTTAATCATTAGTTCTTTCAAAGCAACTTGAGACATCTCGAGAGATTCAATATTTTCTTCATACGTTGCTTAGATTTGTTGTAGCTCATTCCTCTCTGTCTTACACGTCAAGAGTTTTGCACAAAGAGCTTGTCGATCGTTAGATATCTTGATGGCATCATTCTTAGCCTTGGAAATCTCCTCATTTAGTTTGACATTCTCACTTTTACATGCTTTTAGTTTTATAGTGAGTTTGTCATTCAATTTGGATAAGTTAAGAGATTCTTTATACAACTTTTTATAAGCTCGCTAAAGCTCTTCATCATCACTCCTTGAGAATTCATCATCAGTGTCATTCTCAACCGGACTCTTCGGATACTCTGTTCGTCCTTCAGTTTCGGAAGCCACCATGAAAGCAAGGAATTGTTCATGTCCCTATTCGCCTTGTACTTCATTGTCACTTTTATCTTTATCAGACTCTAATTCATCATCCCAAGTGATAGCGAAGGCTTTCTTCTTCCTCAAACGAGTAGGACATTCTTGAGCAAAGTGGCCAAATCCTTAGCATTCATAGCATTGGACTCTTTCAAAATTCCCTTGTATTTTTCCTTTCTTCTTCTAAGTTATAGAATTACTTTTGAATTTATCTTTGCTTTTAGATTTATGAGTTGATTTCAAAAGATTAAGATTCTTTTTCAAAAATGACTTTTTAAATTGTTTGACGAAAGCATCCATAATCTTGGAATCAATCTCACAATCCTCATCAGAATCCTTTCTAACTGTATGAGCACTACTAAAGCAATATCATCTTTTTGTTTCTTTTTGAAATTTCTATGTGTGTCATAAGTTTGGAGATTTCCAACCAAATGATTCAGCTTGAGGTTGTTAACATCTTAAGCCTCCTCAATAGCCGTAACTTTTGGTTGGAACCGATCAAGCAAGGATCTTAAAAAATTTCCCATAACCTTGGATTCTGGTATTTTTTTCACCTAAATTGAAGTTGGAATTTATAATGTCACTCAACTTCGCATAAAATTCATCAAAGGTCTCACTATTTTTCATAGAAAGGTTTTCGAAACTAAACGTGAGCCTTTGAAGTTTTGAACGTTTAACAGAAAAAGTGCCTTCATGAATAGTTTGTAAGATATCTCAATCCTCTTTTACGACTTCAAAATTGCAAATTTGACTAAAGTCTTCAGGTGTGACGGCGCAAAAGAGAGAATTAATAGTTTTACTATTTCAGCTATTATTTTGGTAATCAGTTAGGTCCCACTTATGAATTGGTTTGGGAAAAGCTACTCCATCAACGATAATCATTGGTTCATTCCACCCATACATGACAAATTGTCAAACTTTTTCATTAATAGATTTTAAAAATGATCACATCCAAGTTTTCCAAAAAACATAATTAGATCCGTCAAGTAGGGGTAGTCGAACCGTAAAATTGACCTCACGAATTGAATCCATTATCACAAATCAAACAAGATCTCGCTCCAAAAGTTTTAAAAAAAATAGAGTGACATGCTCTGATACTAATTGAAAAATCTAGAAATCCCCTAGATATTGATTTGTGATTATATATCAATTTTAAGCAGTAATTAACAATCTCAATCAAATAATCAAGACAAATCGACATAACGATTTTAACGTAGTAAAACCACAATTGAAACACCTCCAATTGTGATAAAAAAAATCACGGGCAAAAGCAACAAAATAATCCACTAAGAAGACATAAAAGAATTACACAAGTGTACTCTCAATTACCTAGCGAATCGACGCTCGAATCGAACCGATCCCAATGTGCCTCTTCCAACCCCATCTTCACTTCGGAATTATTTTGCCCAACGTTGAATCCACAACGTCGATGTCAAATCTACAATGATGAGCCACTCCAGAATCCACCAATGCTTCAGTCCCAAATTCCCCGAAACTCACCGAAGAACAATTCTCTCTTTTGTATTGAATGAAACAAACAATCCTTTGATGTATACTTCTCAAACCATGAATTAAACTCAAACAAACATAAAAAAAAAACTAGCAAAGAAGCTCCAGATATATATCCTAATATCCAAGGAGAAGATCTGGAAGCCGTAACCCTAAAAACAGATGAAATCACATATTTATAGAAAACTGATCCGCGATCTCCGCTCGACCGAGCAGCTTGATCCCCAACATAGTCAGCGAAGTGGCAAACATGAAAGAATAGACATCACAAATTTCTCTGCAAGGGTACAATTCGGATTGAATTCGCATCTAAAACTTATAACCTCACTAAAATAAAATATCGAATAAAATTACAACTGAAAGGACTTTTGTCAAACGGGATTGTCAAGAATAGAAATCTAACAATCTCAAAAAAATAACAAACTATTGAATAACTAATGAATAGTGCCTCAACAAAGGTATTGTAGCAAATTCAACCAAAAGCTAATTTAGAAATAATTTGTTGAGACTAATGGAGAAAGAATTTTATAATTTGCTAACTATATTTAACTTTTTTGCTATTTTGATGATGCTGATGTGAATGCTCTAATGACTATTGAATCAAGTTGATCCCAGTGTAATAGTCCGTTGAAAAGGAGAATAGTTATATCAAGCGGGGAGAAGTCACTTGGAGGCATAAAAATGAGATATAGTGATGTGGAGAGATCTATCAAAAAGAGTGGTGTAGTAAATCTATGTAGTATTTTGTAATAATAGTGTATGTTTTTTTGTGTATTTATAATGTATTTTTGGATTATGTTATATCGTACAGCGCCTATAGTCAAATTTATTGTGCTCCAGCCTTATAGTAGGTGTACTCTTTTCTATCTTAGAGCATTTTCAATAGAACTGCTATTTCACTTGTCAAAGCTAAAAAATGACAGGAATGATAAAAAGTTGTCTCTGATGATCTGCTATTTCACTTGTTAAAGATGGCAGATGTCATATGTGTTCTCAAATTTAACAAGTGAAATGGCAGATGCCAAGTTTGCCAGATCAGCAAAAATCAACAGGAATTTGACACCAAATTCAGTTGAAAACAACAGAATTAATCCAGTGGGGAACCCATTTTTCATAATCAAACCCAATTTTCAGAATCAAGCAAATTTCAGAATGAAATTGACAAACTCAAATTCGGTTTGATGAAGACAGACAAAAAAAAAATTGATGGAGACAGATATCAAAAATTGATGGATGAACAAAAATTGATCAAAAAAATAATTAAGAAAATTTGAAAAAAAAAATACCAGATTTAAATCTTTTGAAGATCTGGTTTAAATCCATCGGCAGCTTTGAGTTTCAAAAATCACGATCCCCTCAGATCCATATCAACAACCAGAAAAAGGGAAAAGACAGGCTGAGAGAGTGAAAGGGAGACAGAGTGAAAGACTGCGAAGGAGACCGAGTCAGAGAGAAACCTAAATCAGTAGTCCTGTGTATAGTCTCGCGAAAGCTGTGAGCGTATGTCCTGAAATCGAAACAGCAAGTGATCTGGTTTAAAATGTCACAAAAGATAAAAATAAACAAAAATAAAATCACAAAAAAATCTATATCCAAACAACACTTATAAACTTGGAAGAAAAGTTGGTTGAGATTTGTCAAAACAGTAAGTGACTATTGTAGCACCATTATTATAATTTAACAAAATAATACTATTCATTGTCAAATTATAACAATAATAATGATATTATAACAATAATGATTGGAGATGTTCTTACAATGATACCCAAAAAATCACATCGTTATTATTTCTTATGAGCTAAAATGAATTACACATCAATCAATAAAGTGGATTGGATGTCCAGTTTTCCAGAATGGAACTTGTCTTATCACTTATGTTTGCCAATGTTGATTACAAGATCAACTTCGATGCTTTGGAATGACTGGTGGCTAGACCACCTCTTTTAACCATCATGTATCTATCACGCATGTTCATCGATTGTTAGTTCAAGCTCCACAGCTCACACATCTTGGCATTGGATCCTTTCACTCTACAAATGAGGGGCATAAAGAACCAAAACTCACCCATTTTTTGCAGAAGCCCAATCCTTGACCGTTCTCTCAATGTTTGGTGATAATCTCCCATCTAGCAGCCATTATCATCATATGTTCAACACTCTCTGCATTGGATTTCATAAGTTATAATATGAATGGAGAACATTTGAGCTTTGTCATCCAATATTGTGACAAGCTCAAGACATACATGTTTGTTTTTATAAGCTCCATACAACTTTAATTCCTAACTATTTTCATGAGCATATTTAACGTTATTGATAAATTTCTAAGTCTATATATCAGTCAGTGATCAAGTATTTTTATGAGCATATTTAAGGTTATTGATGAATTTCTAAATCTATATATCAGTCAGTGATCACGGGATCGTGGTTGTTGCTAAAAAAATTGTAGAGTGAGTTGGTTAGTGGGTATAGTGAATTAGATATCAATTATGACTAACTTTGACCTTTAAATTGAGAGTAAAAATGACTTAGAATAATAAAAAAAACTTTGCGTAAGACTTGCCTTAATACATCCTTACCAAATAGGACTTGTGAATAATTATTCTTTTTTAAATGGTCCAATTACTTTTAAGTTAATTGTCATAGAGTCCATTTTTTACAATCTATTGGGTTCAATTTCTTTAAAATTCACTTTTTTCCCAACAATTTTTTTCAAAATGCGGTGGGTTCAATTGAACCCATACCACTACACGTGGAGCTGCCCGTGTGTACACATCATTTATGAACATAAAATTTTTTATATATATTTATTTTCCAATTCATCATTTATTTAATATTAAAAAAAAAAAACCCTTAAAAAGGAGCTTAAGGAAAAACGCATGAAATGAGAAGCAATCCAAAAACTATACCATTCCCCATGACTTCACAGCCTGTTAAAGAGGCCTTGAAACTCCGCAAAAAGCCGACAATCGAAGATAATTTCAAGCCAATCCCATGTGGGATTCTTCTCTTTTACTCATCATCCCCTGTTTTATCTCTGCTCTGCTCTGCTCTGTTTTTATGCTCCTTCTCTCTGCTCTTCCTCTGAAGCCTCAGCATTGAAATTCCTGTTCAGATTTTCTGGGTTTTTTTATTCATCATGTGGGATTCAGAGAGTGAGTTAGTTGGAGGAAGAGACTACAACAATGGAGTGCTCAATCCCAGCAAGCTCAGTGTCAAGACTGATGGGTTTGAGCAAAGAGGCCAAGCTTGGTAAACTTATAAAAATTTGCAAACAAAAGATGATCAATTTTATTACATGAAAATAGTTAGTTACAATTTTATTTTATTTTTAATTTTAAGAACATGAGCTTATGAATAATAATCTTGTGATTTCTCACATTGAATAGGTATGTTTCAACTGACATCCCAAGTGACTTCTTGATTCAAATTGGAGATTCCACTTTCCACTTACATAAGGTAGTTATTTCTTAGCCCCGACACTTTGCACTCTGTTAATGTTTTGTTTTGTTTTCAAAATATGTTTTCTTAAAAATAAATAACTAAAATAAAAACCAGTATAGTGAAAAAAATGAAAAAATCTCTCCAACTCTAAGCTTTTGGATTGAAGGTATTATTAGCAACAATGTGTACTAATATAAATGCCTCTATGAAGTATCCACTGCTTTGTAGGAGTGGAAAGATGAACACAGTCATATACAAAACGCGAGACTCGGATTTGGAAAAAATTGTTTTGGATGATCTTCCCGGTGGACCCGAGGCATTTGAGCTGGCTGCAAAATTCTGCTATGGAATTGCCGTCAATCTCACAGCAACAAACATCTCGAACCTAAGATGTGCAGCAGAGTACCTAGAAATGACAGAGGATTTGGAAGAAGGCAATCTCATATTCAAAACTGAAGCATTTCTCAGCTACGTCGCCTTATCGTCATGGAGAGATTCCATTCTGGTATTGAAAAGCTGCGAGAAGCTTTCTCCATGGGCAGAAAACCTCCAAATCGTGCGAAGATGCAGCGAGTCCATCGCATGGAAGGCTTGCGCCAATCCAAAAGGAATCAAATGGGCTTATACAGGGAAACCCCTAAAAGTTTCGAGCCCAAGATGGAATGAATCGAAGGACTCAACCCCTGGTGAACACCAGCCAGTGCCTTCTGATTGGTGGTTTGAGGATGTTTCGATTTTGAGGATTGATCACTTTATTCGGGTCCTTACTGCGATCAGGGTGAGTGACTCCCAGACTCTTACGCAGTATTTGGTTAGAAGATTTGGTGAGGAATTTGGAATGAAAATGGGAAAAGGTGTTTGAAAACAAGTGAAATGTAGATATGTTTTATTCACATTTCACCTACTTTTTTTATTTCTCTTTCGAAATCCCTTATCAAATCTCCTAACCAAACACAGCATTACAAGCTACTGTCCTCAACTATATTTTAAATTCTGTTCATATCATATTTTCTGTCAATTACTCATAATTGTGCCAAATATTTATGTTCAGAATTTTGCTAGACTAACAATCTACGGGGGGAAAAAACAGGTGAAAGGGATGAGATTTGAATTGATTGGTGCTGCAATAATGCACTATGCAGCGAAGTGGCTGCCTGGTTTGATAAAAGAAGGAACGGTAACAACAGAAGATGGAAGCAATAACAGCAACAATAATGGTAGTAATAGTAGTTGGAAAGGGGGGCTGCATCTGATAGTAGCCGGGACTAAAGATGGCGTGGCAAACATTCAGGCAAAAGATCAACGGATGATCATCGAGAGCCTGATAAGTATAATTCCACCGCAGAAGGACAGCGTATCGTGCAGCTTCCTTCTGCGGTTACTGAGGGTGGCGAACATGTTGAAGGTAGCACATGCTTTGGTTACTGATTTAGAAAAGCGCGTAGGAATGCAATTTGAACAAGCTTCCTTACTGGATCTTCTCATACCATCTTACAATAAAAGCGAGACACTGTACGATGTGGATCTAGTTCAGAGGCTTTTGGAGCATTTTCTTGTTCAGGAACAGACAGAGAACTCGAGTCCAAATGCAGAGTCTTTTTCAGAGATACACATGTATGAAGAAACTCAAACGGGTCATAATGTTCTTAATGCCAAGATGAGAGTGGCAAGGCTTGTAGACAGTTATCTGACAGAAGTTTCCAGAGATAGAAACCTCTCCTTAACAAAATTCCAGGTCCTGGCAGAGTCCTTGCCCGAATCCGCAAGAACATGCAATGATGGTCTGTACCGAGCTATCGATTCCTATCTTAAGGTAATTCAATTCCAACTCTGCACGTTTTTCGGTTTCTTTTACTTTCATTTCAATGATTTATCATGAGAGTTCTGTGTTTTGCTATATATATATACTATTGCTTTATGCAACATCACAATAGGCAGTGTAAGTGAGTGAACTTGTGCTTTTGAAAATGACTAATTTATTAGAAAGGTTAAGAACTCTTTAAGATATTGCTAAGTATGAATAGAAGACAGATTTAAAACAGTTAATCGGATGATTTCTCAATACTGAAAATAATAAAACCATAAAAGACATTACAAAAAGTGAATCTAAAGGATTTTTTTTATTAATATTATTTTTTAATCATAATTACCCCTCTCATACTGTGCAGTGCTAGAGTCTCATGCACTGAGACTGCTCTTTATATCGTACAAATTATAGTAGTTCAATTTTTTGAAGTTTTTATAACAAAAAGTATGCATTTGTTTTTATGAAACTACAATATAAGATTCTGATTTGCGTAAAACAGGACATAACCAATTGATGTTATCCCATAGAAGAAGAAAAAAAAAATTAATTAGTACTCCCTCTGGTTGGAAGTTTGATCTGTTCTATCAAACTGGCAGGCCCATCCAACACTCTCAGAGCACGAAAGGAAGCGACTCTGTCGTGTTATGGATTGCCAAAAGCTCTCAATCGATGCTTGTATGCACGCTGCCCAAAATGAACGCCTTCCATTGCGTGTGGTGGTGCAAGTACTCTTCTCTGAACAGGTCAAGATAAGCAATGCAATAGCCAACAGTTCTCTAAAAGAAGCCGCTGACGCTCACTACCCACCCATGGCATCAAACAAGAAAACCTTACTTGAAGGAACTCCACAGTCATTTCAAGAAGGATGGGCAGCAGCGAAAAAGGACATAAATACACTCAAACTTGAGCTTGAGAGTGCTAAAACCAAGTACTTGGAGCTCCAAAATGATATGGAGAGTTTAAAGAGACAGTTTAATAAGATGGAGAAGCCGAAACAGACATCAGCTTGGACCAGTGGGTGGAAAAAACTGGGCAAGCTCACCAAGATGACAGGTTTTGAGACTAATGATTTCGGAGCGCAGAACCCAAATGCAGAGCAGACTAGAAAGACAGCCAGAAGGTGGAGAAATTCCATTTCCTGAGAAAGTTGGAAGAGAGAGAGGTTTCCCAAAAGGGTTACCTAGAATTCAACTCTTTATTGGCTGCAATATTGTTGTTTTTTTCTTTTTTTCTTTTTGTTTTGTTTCCATTTTTTGTCTCTTTAAAACACCACCAACCATCACCACATCCTTCGACCTTCCACCATCAAGCTCGACTAATCTACCTCTATGCTGCCATCCCCAACATACCCTCCACCATTTCCCTCCCTACGTTCGATCTTTTCTCAATAAAATTCATGATTAAAGTGCTCTAACAAGAGAATGATGTGAATTATCCAATTGAAGACAAAAAAAAAATATGGGTAGGTCACAAATCATAAAATTCTAATAACAAAGTACATAATATAAAAATTATTCAATTTACGAATAATTATACCTGTGATTATGAGAGAAATATTTTAGGAAAATTTATCCATAAGTCCTAGTTTTTGAAACGTTAAACCATTTAATCTTAAAAGTTTTCTTATGTTCCATTTAGTCCCATTTTTACATCAACATGATGTGAATGATGTAAATGATCTGATGTTTCATTCTATAATTTCAAAATTTATTGAAATCTGATGAACATTAGATGTTTTTCATCCTATATTTTCAAACATTATTGAAATTTGATGAACATTAGATGTTTGAAATCCAATGTTTGTAACATGACTCTGATGTTATTAACATTGTATCTGATGTTATTAACATTGTAATGGGACCTTTCAGTCTATAAGAAAACTTTTAGGATTAAACAGTGCATAAGTTATTAATTTGGGATTTATTGGTGCATCCCCCAATATTTTATTTGGAAAAATATCCATATTAAATAAACAAACAAAACCATGAATCACCACTCGAAATTCTAATAAAGTTATAAAACAACTAGGATTAATAAACTTCATAACCCACCATAAATGATATAGTTTTAAAGATTTTTAAAAAACAAAAAAACACTCTTAATTCATTCGTATTTGACCTGAACGAGATGGTACACTAGCTGAAATGGCTGAAATGGCCAAATTAAGCCGGTACAAGCCAGAAAATCATGCAAAAGAGTGGACCGTTTTTTAGATGAAGCAGTGAATACGGAACCATTTTGGCCAGTCAAAAACAGGATTTATAACTATGATCTTGATAACATGTCCATCACACAGTGAAAAATGTTTCTATCATTGATACAAATCATATTAGAGAGAAAGAGAGAGACAGAGAGAGTAGTCAATGGAATTGATAGGGCAACTTATTAAGACAAACAATTCTATCTCAAAAGTTTTCTGATGCATTGGAGTCATGCATTTTTAAATGATAAATCAATTCCAATCAATTCCTCCAACTTTGTACCGAAAAACATTTCTAGGAATTGAAATTCATCAAAATACTATTCCAGTTCCATTTCAAGGCAAGCAACGAGTTGCATCCCAACAAAAATTGAGAATCCAATGCTATCATATGGTTAAAATATACAAAATGTTGTTAAAAAAAATAAAATATAAAATATAAAAAAAAAGGGAAAATAAAAAGGCCTAGAATTGAAGATGCATGCATCCACATCACACACAAGTCGAATACATAATTTAAATAGGAGCAAAGATCCTTTAGAGTTTTTTTTTCTTAAAGTTTCTTAGAGTCGTGCATTGTGTGGTTGAGATTTAATGACAAGTCACATCAATTTTTCAGTATTAAATCTCAACCATACAATACACTACTTTAAGAAATTTTAGAAAAAAAACACTCTAAAAGATGCTTGGTGTTTAAATAGATACAGCATTATACGACAATAAATTTTACCTTTAATAATGGATCCTTGGCCAATTGTAAAGCCGAATGAATGGCTTCTGCCCTGGGGCCTTTGTGCTAAATGTGTACCTTTAATAATGGATCCTTGGCCAATTGTAAAGCTGAATGAATGGCTTCTGCCCTGGGTCCTTTGTGCTAAATGTGTGTGTGTGTGTGTGTGTGTGTGTGAGAGAGAGAGAGAGAGAGAGAGAGAGAGAGAGAGAAAAAAAAGCCAAGTTAATCTAAGGCAAGCCCACAAAAACTCAACCTTCAAAAACTAGCTAAGAAAATCTAAAAAATAGTAACATTGTATTTGGAACCAAATCCAACTTTGAAGATTTTGATTTGAAAAGGAGAAGGGAAATGAAAGAATTTGAAGCAAATCTTTATGTTAGGAACTAATTTGAATTTAACAGAAATGATTTTCATTTTTTTCCATTTGGGTTTGATTAACTGGCTGAAATTCATAATCTTTACCTCCAAAACTTCTGAGAAAGATCACCATTTTTTCCTGCAGACAATAATTATAATAAAAAAAATTAAAATTAAAACCATACTGTACAATGAAAACACACACACACACAGATAAATTGTCTTGATTCATAAAACTAGCACAACACACATACATAAATAAATTGTCCTGATTCATAAAACTACAAAAAACTTTCTAAATGTAGTATATTTACAAATTTTGAGTGAGATTTTTTTGTGGTGAATGAAAAAAGAACCATTTGGGGGGGTCAATCTAGTTTACAAACTAAAATTTGGATAGGAATTTTTTTTTTTTTTTTTTTTTTTTTTTTTTTGAAATGGCGTTTCTACTACCAACCAAAGCCAACCCACACAATGACACACACACCAATGGCCACACCCACAACACTCAAGCATTGAAATAATATAATTTTTATATATAATAATAATTTATAATAATTAATTATATAATTTTTATAATTTTCGTAAATATAAATCATTTTTCACTTGAAACAATTGCTTTCATCATGCCACAGTGAGTTATCCGAACGTCCTGCAGTTTCCTTAGATCTCTAGCTATGGAAAGTGAGAACGTAGTTTGTAGTTTATGACACCAGAACACATCTACAGACGTCAGGTTGCCGAGCCATACAAGTTGGGTGGGACCCTTCCACATATTTGTCAATTCAGGCAAGAAATTGTTTTAAAACATTTTGGCGAAAAATTTAAAAAAAAAAAAAGAAAAAAAAAGGAGATAATTATGGGGTGTTTTGGGAATTTGGCTTTTAGCCACTTTTTTTAGATTTGTAGCAAATGCCAAAAGTTTTTTTTTTTTTTTTGTATTTTTTTTCATTTGGCAAGTTGGTTTTTTGCTACTTGTGAAATTACAATTCTACCTCTCATGGGTCAAAATGTGCAAAATGGGTGAAATTATAAATATTTTAAATTAAATGGTGGTAATTTGGTCATTTTATTGTGATTTGACATCATAAACAAATATTAATCAAAAAGGCTAAAAGTAACTTTTTACCAACTTGTCAAATCATTTGTCTAAAAAAGCCAAAAGCTTAGGGTTGGTTTGAGATGTTCTAAAAAAATGTATTTTTTGACTTATTGGCTTATATGGGTTGGGTTTGGTTTGGGTTGGGTTTGATGTGAAGTGTTAGAGAGGTGATGTGATTTAAATAAGATGATATGACTTAAATAGGATAGTAACTATTTGACTTTTTGTATTATTTAGGTCATGCCAAACTTGACCTTAGTTAAAAGCCAAAATGTCACTTTTTTACCATCTTCCCAAAATAGGCCTATATATCATAGGCTCATTTTGAAAATATAGATTAAAAGTCAAAAATTAACTTTTAATTCATTTTTGATCACATCACCTCTCAGAGTAAAAAAAACGTTTTCTTCTTTCTTTGCTTCTCTATATGTTTGCGAACAAGAGTGCGAGAGAGTTGGACACCGAGTTATTATTCGGGGATTGGTGAATTTCTGTTTAGTTTAGAATTTTCAGTAGTTTTTTTAAATTAATGTATTTACCTTAAAAGAAAGGGAGAATATCAATATAAAAAAATGTTGAGTGTGAAAAAAATAATTACAAAAGAATAAAAGTACAAGTAACTTATGCATTTAATTATGTGAAGAAATCTTATACCTTCATTAGTTGGGGGGAAAAAATCACTCTCTACTTTTTTGAAATTCTCCCTAAAAGAAAAATTGATGAAAAGTCCATCCCACAATGATACAAGGCATTAGATTTGAGGTAAAATCTTATTTGATGATAAGGACACATTAGAAAAGTTGATGACGCTGGAAAAGTCGCCGGTGGCGACGACTAACGGTCGTAAGTGGTGGTAAGATAAAGAAATGCGTGATATTCAACAGATAGGTTATTAAATGAATGACATGTATTGCATTTCAATATATAGTTTAATTTTGTAAATTTTAATAGATAAACACATAGGTTGATTTCAACAGATAGATTGACTTCAATACATAGACTGACTTCAGTACATAGACAGATAGGTTAAATTTCAAAGGATGGTTATCTTTTTTGACAAATTGTGTACTTTTGGCCCTGAGATATTAGAGTTTGGCTCTAATGGTCTAAAAAATTAAAAACTGGACTTATGATCAGTGTCCTATAAAAAATGTAAGAAAAATCCTAAATACAATATAAACAAAAAAATTACATTTATTGAATTATTTTTAAATTTCTTTACAAATATTTTAATTTTAAGGTGTATTTAGTTTAAGTAGAATCTAGAAAACAAAAAAAATTGACTAAAATATTTTTTTTTAAATTACTAATTACTAAAAATAAAAAAAAATACAAATTGAAATTTTAAAAAATTAAAATCATTCAAAGGATGGTTATCTTTTTTGACAAATTATGTACTTTTGGCCCTGAGATATTAGAGTTTGGCTCTAATGGTCCAAAAAATTAAAAACTGGACTTATGATCAGTGTCCTATAAAAAATGTAAGAAAAATCATAAATACAATATAAACAAAAAAATTACATTTATTGAATTATTTTTAAATTTCTTTACAAATATTTTAATTTTAAGGTGTATTTAGTTTAAGTAGAATCTAGAAAACAAAAAAAAAATTGACTAAAATATTTTTTTTTAAATTACTAATTACTAAAAATAAAAAAAAATACAAATTGAAATTTTAAAAAATTAAAATCATACAAAATTAATATATTTTTACTTTACAAAAATAATAAAATTATCTTTTATATATTGATTATAGATTCAACAAACTATTATCATCATATTACCTATACAAAAAATATACAATTTATCATTTATTTTTAATCTAATACTATTACTCAATTAATCATCTCACCTTAGTCATAATTCACTCAACCTAATTCTAAAAATAAACAAGACCTATAGGTACTCCATTTGGCAAGGGCTTTTGTGGCAATTTTAGCCACAAAAGACAAACACAGACTATTTTAGTCGCAACAAACAAAACATTATATTCAACTCATAATCATTACATTATTCTCTCACAAAAAAAGTTAAAAAAGTCAAAAAGCCAAAAAAGTCCTTCCCAAACCAAGCTTTTTAGCTCAGATTAAAATAGCCAAAAAGCCAACTCACTTCCCAAATAGAGGCAACTTATTTTGGTTATAACTTATTTTTTGACTTTTTAATTTATTATAAAAAAAAGTGTAAAAAAAAAAATAATGTGACCTAAATAAATTAATAACTCAATAAAAATATTATTTAAATCATTGAAAACAAAAATATCAAATATTATTGAATAAATTTGTCAAATTTTAATTCTATAGATCATGTGATGCCTCGTACGTTTTAAATTCTTTATTTTTAATTGCATTAAGACCCACAATTATTAATCAATATCACTTTATATCTTAATTATAAACTAATACATTTTTTATCAATCAATTATAAAAATCATAATCTATCTTAAAAAAATCAACAATGATTTATCCCACTAAAAACATCACCACTAATAACACTAATGCATTATAAAAAATAAAAAAAAAAACACCACAACTCCAAGACCAAAACATCACATCATTAATGGCGGGACCCCCTGCCACCTAATTAGTGGGAGCACTAATTAGTGCTCCCAAGCATTTTTCTAAAAAAATATCGGAAAGAGATGGAAAATTTTACAAAATCACAACAAAAAAAAAGTAAATTACACTCGCCTCATCTAAAGTTTAAAAAAATACAATTTACACTTTTGACATAATTATACTAATCTTCATAAATTTTTTATTCACATAACATTTTGACCATTTTTCATCAGTAATTTATTACTCATATAAATAACAAAATGACATTATCATCCATTTTTTACTAAAATCTATATTTGTTTTATTTATTTTAGTGTCTATCCACTATTGACATTGGTTTCAATTACTTTAATCATACTAAAAAAAGATTAGTGTAAAAGTGTAGAGTTAATTATTATGCCCTCATTTGGCATGGGATTACCAGACTAAAATAGTCACAAAAAAATAAAATAGACTAAAAAATTAATAAGATAAAATATCACATCCAAACCATAATCATCTCACTTTTTTTCTCATAAAAATCAAAAAAAAAATCAAAAAAGTTATTCCCGACGAGGTCTTTTAGCTTAGATTAAAAAAGTTAAAAAGTCAACTCATTTATCAAACGAAACCTATATATATTTTTTTATTTCAAGATGGCGAATTTATCCCTTTTTTTTTAATGGTGATTTTGCAAAATTTATCTCTTTTCTATTTTTTTATTTCATATATATATATATATATATATATGTGTGTGTATATATATTTATTACATCACTAAAATAAGATAATTTTCTTCCCAAACGGAGCCTTGCGGTGGTTGAAAACTTTGAAATTTTGTTGGCTTAGCCGATCTCAGTGATTAAAAATTTATTTTTAAAAATTTAGTGGGTAAAATATTTATATAAAAAATTTAAAATAATTGGATATTAGTAGTTATAGGGCTCGTCAAGTATTTCATCTTTATAAAAAATTACGTTAATCGAATATCGATAATTACTTAATCGGATCATATTCTTATCAATGGTAAATATGAATTTAAAAATAAATTATTGACAAAAATTATTCTGATTAAATAACTATCGATATCCAATCAACATAATTTTTAACAAAAATAAAATATTCGATAAATTTTCACATTAATTTAGAGTAGTGATTGGTAGCTCGAAAGAGCTCCCCCGAATTTCCCCTGAAACGAAAACGACGTCGTTTTCGTCGTTTTGTTTTGTTTTTTTGTTTTTTTTCATTTCAGAAGAAGAAGAAGAATTTCATAAGAAGAAGAAGAAAATCAGAAAGAAGAAGGAAGAAGGAAGAAAGGGAAGAAGGAGGAAGAAGAAAAAGAAGAAGAGAAGGAAGAAGAGAAGGGCTGGAGGGGCCATCAACCAGGGCGAGGGGGAGGCGGAGGCGGAGGTGGAGGCTGGGCGACGATCGGAGCTGAGCTGCGACGATCGGACAATCGGGGACGACGATCGGAGTGAGCTGCGACGATCGAACAATCGAGAACGACGATCGGCGGGACGACGATCCCCCTCCATTCCTCTTCCCCTACTCTTTCTCTTCTCCTCTCCTCTCCTCTCCCTCTCTCTGAGTTTCGAGAGATTCGAGAGACGATTTTTCGGGAGTAAAATCATTTCTCATTATTAAAATTAAACTTGCAATGAATCCCACCAACCCAAATAATGTGCACATGTATCTTTTTAAAAATAACCGCCCAAAATTTAACCGGGATGAAATACAATTACCACGGTCCCCACACGTGGTGATGCAGAACATCCTGAACCGTCCAATTAAACAAACAAAAGCAAAACCCCATCTCTCTCTCTCTCTCTCTCAACAAATCCTCTTTTTCTCTCTCTTCTGTCTCTCTCCCTCCATTCCCCCACAAAAAAAACAGGTTCTCTTTTAGATTGATTCACTCATTTTTCTCCCCGCTCTTCTCTGTCCCTCCCCCGTTTCTCTCTATCTCTCTCTCAGGTCCATGGTGGTTGAACTTCAGATGAAAGTCCGTTACAAAATACCTTCTGGGTTACTCATCTGAAGTAAAACCCAACAAACCCAATAACAAGAGAAGAAAAACCAGCACACGAAATGCCCATGGAGGGTCAGAGAATGGCTCAATTGATGCTCCTCTGGTGTAGAATCCGAAGCTCTCGCGTAGCCCTCGTGGGTGGCAATCACACCGCTTCTAGGTTTTGCTCTCGCTAATCCCCTTCCTCGTCTCCCCCTTGTGATTTTCCTATCTTTTCTCTACCTGGGTAATTCCCAGATCTTCCAAACAATCAAGCTCTTGTACTTTTCTAAATCACATTTCTGATCTGAAATCATAAATCAATCGAATTTCACAAGAAATTTGAGTATTTTCGCCATGGAATTGGGTTCTGGGCATCGATCCAAGAGAGAAATCGAGACGAAACGATTGAAATCGGAGACAATCGGGTTGAATTCCGATGCCCTTTTGGTGATAAAGCTTCCAACTTCACAGGTTTTAAGGGTTGCGTCTCGGTCTCTGTTTTTAGCCTTTCTAATACTTGCATTGCCTTCTATTGTCTCCGTCATGAGAGGACCCCCGAGTTCTTTGTTTGACTATGAAGCAATTGGGTCTGATTCGTTCGGTTTCGAATTCTTGCCTTTGCTTTTTCACGATTTGTGGGACGAAGGATTGCTTATAGAAGGCGATAGAGCTCTCGTTGTGAGCTCTCGTGTTGGGAATTTCATGGATTATTCGGAATTCTTGAACGAGAATGATATTGATTTGGCAATCGAATCCGATCTAGAAAGCCAAAGCTTGATTCCAGATGAGACATTTGATTTCTTATTCACATTGAACTATAAAGTTGCTAAATCTGTGGATCGGGTTATCAAAATTGGTGGTCTTTTGGTTATGCAACTAAGCAATGACCCTTCAAATACTTTCCAACAAGACTCAAATTACAAAATTGTGTATATTAGGCGATTCAACAACTCCACTGTGGTTGCAATGAGAAAAACAGGTTTGATGATTGAGTCGGTGAATTTGCCAAGAAAGCTGCAACATTGTGGTAGTATGGTGGAAGCTAAAAAAGAGGTTTTGAAGGGTTTAGAAGATGTATTGTTTGAGCCACCGCCTAGACAAGCATTGGCAAAGTCGAGTGCTTACTTGGAAAAACCCAAATTCTTGCCAGACTTGTTACAAGATTCCCTGGAAAGTTACAAAAAACGAATTTTCATCACAGATGACAGTGGCGGTGTTGTGGAATGGTTTAATAAGAATTACCCAACAAGGGATCAGCATTTTGAGGTCTACAATTTGGAGATTGATCTTCATGAATCGATGAGCACAAGGATGCCGAAGATGATTGGGATGTCGGATTGGTTCATGGAGAATGTTAGGGAGGAGGATTTTGTTGTGATGAAAGCTGAAGAGCGGGTGGTGGAGGAGATGATGAGGAAGAAGACAATATGTTTGGTGGATGAATTGTTTTTGGAATGCAAGAACCAATGGGAAGGTGGTTTGGAGGAAAATGAGGGAAACAGAGCTTATTGGGAGTGCTTGGCATTGTATGGAAGGCTTAGAGATGAGGGGGTTGCTGTGCATCAATGGTGGGGTTGATTGGGAAAGAGAGCTTATTGGGAGTGCTTGGCATTGTATGGAAGGCTTAGAGATGAGGGGGTTGCTGTGCATCAATGGTGGGGTTGAATTTTTAAGAGAAGCTTTGCTAGTTGAAGATGCTTCTCAATGCTTTAGCTATTCTATGTTATGTGAGAGAGAGAGAGTGTGTGTGTGTGTTGATGTGAATGTTTATGTTTGTTTAAAATAAGCCTCTGCTTTTGATGTTCTTGATGTTGTGCATCAATGGTGGGGTTGATTTTAGAGAAAGCTTTGCTAGTTGAGGCTTCTCAGTGCTTGGCTATTCTATTCTATTCTATGTTATGTAAGAGAGAGAGAGTGTGTTGATGTGAATGCTTATGTTTGTTGATTAAGTCTCTGCCTTTGGTGGTGGTGGTGTTGTGCATCAATGGTGGGGTTGATTTTTAGAGAAGCTTTGCTAGTTGAGTTGAGGCTTCTCAAATGCTTGGCTATTCTGTGTTATGTAAGAGAAGTGTTGATGTAAATGTTTATGTTTGTTGAAGTCTCTGCTTTTGGTGTTCTTGTCGCTGTTGAGTTGAGTGCTTTTCATCTTCTTGTTCCTTGGGTAGTTCTTCTATTTACACAAAAATCAATTACAGAATTTAACACAACTCTTTCGTAGGGGTATTACACCTACAAAATTGAGAATTTTGTTAGATTTCAAAACTGTGAAATTTCCTAGTTCAAACTGAGAAAATTCACCAAATTATGAAATTTTTAATTTTTCTCTCAACTTTAAAGTGTGAAAATTTTCAGTTTTAAAAATGAAAAGGTAAGAAATCATTTCATGTGAAAGGATTGTTTCTAATTTTTCATTGTGTGTATTTTAAAACTTTTTCTTGACTTTTATGTGTTGTGGTGTGAAATAAGATGTTCACACTGTTCAAAGAATTCCCTTGTTCTTATTTGTCATTGTTTAATGGAATATTTGATTATGTTTATATTAAGCACCGTTTAGCAGTGATGTTGTCACCATTCGACCTTTGTGATTCTATAATTTACTATAATAAATGGACTTAGTTATCCTGGGCACTCTTTTTGGGTTTCTTCTCACTTCTACTTTTTAATTTGAAAAAAATATTCCATAATTTATAATAATTGGACTAGCTATCATGCACACTCATTTGGCTTCTCTTATAGTTTATGGAAAATGACACTATAATTTATAATATCTGTATTCAGTGGCGTTTTGAAAAGTTGGTAAAAAATTAATTTTTTGACTTTTTGACTTTTTTAGTTATTTTTTTGGCAAAAAATTGTATTGTTTTGGGTAAAAAAAACTGATTTTTTTGGCTAAAAAAAGCTGAAAAGTCAAAAAGTTGGCTTTTTAGCCTCCGTTTGGGAAGTGGGTTGGCTTTTTGGCTTTTTGACTTTTTTGGCTATTTTAGCCTGGGCTAAAAAGCTTGGTTTGGGAAGGGCTTTTTGGCTTTTTGGCTTTTTTGACTTTTTTTGTGAGAGAAGAGTGTAATGATTATGGGTTGGATGTGATGTTTTGTTTTTTGTGGCTAAAATAGCCTATTTTGTCTTTTGTGGCTAAAATAGCCAAAAAAGCCCCCAACCCAACTTGCCAAACGGAGGTATGTTCCCAAAAGAGCCGGTAAGTGTACTTTTTATTTTTTCATCTTTTTTAGGTTACATTATTTTTCTATTTTTTTACACATCTTTTTGTAAAAAGTTAAAAAGTATATTTATTTAGATCATTTTAAACAAGTCCGATCACTGAATTTAGAAAGGAAAAAAGAAAAAAATATATGAAATTAGGTAAAAGTAAATATATTTTATTTATTTAATTTTTTTTTAAATTTTTTAACTAAACATAACGTTATAGTTTTAAATATAGGGAAAAAAATAATAGTAGATGCATGCACTAATTAGAAACAGCCAAAATTGGTCCTATTATAATTTTGATTTACTATGAATTGTCAATTAGATTTAAAATTTTAAACAAAAAAAATCTATTAAGGGGTCTTTTGAGAACAATGGTAAAAAGTCATTTTTTTTGTTTTTTAGCTTTTTTAGTCAAAAAATTCAGTTTTTTTTTTATCCAAAACAATCTAATTTTTTTGTTAAAAAAAATCATTAAAAAAATTAAAAAGTCAAAAAATTAACTTTTTACCAACTTCCCAAGCACTACTAAATCTTCATCGATGCTGTCAATGTCAATTAGATCGAATGGCATCACTCCAACATTCTAATAATAGAGGATGGAGGTGTAGTATAAAAAGAAAAATAGGTGGTAGCTCGAAAGTCTGTGGCCCGATTTTGGGTCGAATTTTTTTTTTCTGGCATTTGAATACACACAGAGAGAGAGAAAAGAGAGAGAGAAGGAGAAAAGAGGAAGAGGGAAGAGAGAAGAGGAAGAAAAGAAGAGGAAGAGAGAAGGAGGACGACGGCGGGCTGGTGCTGGTTCTGCCAACGACAAGCTCGTGCTGGTTCGTGCTAGTTCTACAGACGACGGAGGACGACGGCGGGGGCTGGTTCTGCCGACGACAGGCTCGTGCTGGTTCGTGCTCGTGCAGCAACTCAGCCTCCGCCGCGCCTCCGCCGCTCCTCCGCCTCTGGTTAATGCCCCCTTCTGTCCAGTTCTCCCTTCCCTTCTTCTTCTTTTTCTCTCTTCTCTTCTTCTTCTTCTTCTTCTTCTCCCCTCTTCTTCTTCGTTTCTGATTAAACACAGGAAAAAGGCCAAAAAAAAAAGACACCAAAACGACATCGTTTTGGTGTTGAGCCAAATTCGACCCACGAATTTCGAGCTACCAACCAGGGTTGTATGAAAACTTTAAGAGTAATACTTGAGATCACTAACAAATAGAGAGTTTTGGGAGGAGTTTTAATGAGTTGGTTCGCTTAATGATTTGATGGTTGCTTTCATGTTTTTTGTTTTTTTTTGTTTTTCTTTGCATTTCTAATTCATTAGAGCTATTTAGTGCTCTTATTTTTAGAATTAGAGCTATTAGTGCTCTTGTTTTTAGAGTTCCCAATTAATTTTTAAAATTTAATATTTTAATTTATTAAAATAGTTAACTTTTTAAATAAGGCCTTAATAAATTACAAATGGGTATGTTGCATTTTTCATCTTTACACTTTGATGAAAATTTTATGTTGGTTCTTTTTGTTCCAATTTGGATAATTTAATTCTTATATTTGGAGTTCAATTTTTAATCATCCTGTTTAAATTTTTTTTTACATGTACACTTCAAGAGAGTGACAAATGTCAAAATTTTCAAATGTTAACTTTCAACTTGAATGAAAGTACCAAATTAAAACTACAATTAAAATGTAGGAACTAACCTATTCAATTTAAAATAATAAGGATTAAAATAAAATTTGAATAAAATCACAAGCTAAAAATATAATTTATGTATTACAAATTAAACTATTCACATGTGTCGGCTCCACATTCATATAACTTTGAGGTCCACACTTTGTTGTAAATAATTGGTAATTTAATGTGTAGTTTATTAAAGATCAATATATATATATATTTTTTTAATGTTATTTTTAAGAGCTATGGAGTGGGTACATATTAGAATAAAGAAGCAGATTTGGTTTCAATCTTGCTGTTGTGTGTGGAAGATGGTTGGCTTTGGGAGTATTGTAGTACAGCTTCACATCTTCATTATCATCTTATTCTTGTGCTGAATAATTGAATTTATAAGACAGGGCCTGCCTGAGTTCGCAAGGGGCTATGGTGAAATATTTTTTCTGGATCTTTTTAGATATTTATAAAAAATAAAAATAAAAATCACTCTATACGGTTTAGAGTTTTCAGAAATAATTGTTTGAGTTTGCAATTCGTTTTTTTTTTTTTTATATGCTTGGTATTTGGTAACATTTTTTAAAAAAATATATAAATATTATAGTTTTTAAGCGTATCCATGTATCTACACAATAAATAAATAAAAATTGTGTAAAATATTTTTTTAAAAAAATACTAAAAAACACATAATTGGACCATAAAGAGAGAAAAAAAAATAGGCCACACAAAATTAGGCTAACAACTAATACATATACATATATTTTATTTTTTATTTTTTTATTTTTTTATTTGGACTAACAACTAACACTTATAAATATTTTTTTAATTGGGTCTTTTATCAATTGGATCAAATAGATTTTTTGAGGCCCCTTTAAAAGGGCCTAAATTAATTAAACAGAATTGGGTCATTTTAAATTTTTAATATAGTGCAAGACTAATAAATTTAGAACCTGTTTTTGGACTTAATTTTGGGGCCCTAGGCACAGGCCTCACCAGCCTTAGCCCAGAGCCGGCCCTGCACCCACTTCAAACCCCCTTTACATCCATTACTTAAACAACATCACCTCTACCACTAGGCAGGGGAGAGGGTGCCCTGCCCAGCAAAAAGTTTCAAGATCCATGTAAATATATACAAGGTCTACAGTATTTATATAAATTGTTTGTACTTGCCCCCCCCTCCCCCCAAAAAATAAATAAATAAAAATCCTTATATTCTACTTTATATTATATCATGTAACCAACTATTATTCAAATGTTGGTCTCTTTATTTTCACTGTTCTAACATTAATCTATTCATTTTAAAAATAAAAAATAAAAATTCCTTCTTGTTCACTGATTAGGGGTTTGTTATATAGTGTACACACTTTGTTGATATATTTTATATTTTGAAGAGTTTTTTTTAAGACAATTATTTCAGTTTTCATAGACGAAAATATATACTGAGCAAATATTCAATAAAAAAGTTTTATACTGTCCCAATGTCTCCCTTTTAGTTTCCCAATGACAAACCTCTTACCACCGTCATCACCATCACCTTTACCTCAATTCTTAATTAGTAAAATTCTTTACGAATCAAGAGTAAAGAACTTAGGCCCCGTTTGTTTCGTTGGATATAAAATAGAGGATATAATATGATGTGGATTTAATCAGGATATATAATGAATAGGATATAAATATTGGATAGTATATCCCCCAAGTCATGTTTGTTGACTTGATATATAAGATTGGATATATGTTATGCATGTTTGTTTTACAAAATATATTGTGGGATATAACAAGTAATCTTTTTTCCCCACCCCCTTTGACCCCCTCTCTCTCATTGGTTACATTTTCTTTTTCTTTTTCTTTTTTTTCCTACTCCTCCAATCACCACCCGCCACGTGACAAAGGGGGAGAGGGGGGGACCCCCCAAAGGGGGTCCCAAGCATTATTCTTTCCCTTTTGCTAAGTCAGAGAAATCTCACTTCAGCGAGCCAAGATTGGCTTAATCTGTCAAAGGAGTAGCATCCGTTTGTAGTAGTAATTAAACTTTAATAAGCAACATACATCATGCACCATGTAGGAAAAAAAAAAAAAAAAAAAAAAAATCACAATAGACACTTTTGGCCAAAAACAAAAGAGTAATGTTAGAAACTCCAAATATTCTACCAAAAGTTTTACCAAATGTCTCACATGGGTGTGGGACCCACACAATGTGGGTCCCATGTGGGTCCCACACCCATGTGAGACATTTAGTAAAACTTTTAATAGAATTTTTGGGTTCTCTAACATTTTTTTATAGAGGATGGAGATGTAATATGAAAAATTTAAGAGTAATATATGAGAACACTAACAAATAGAGAGTCTTGGGAGGAGTTTTAATGAGCTGGTCCTCTTAATGATTTGATGGTTGCTTTCATGTTTTTTGGTTTTTTTTTTTTGAGATTGGCTTTTGATTATCTAATTGTCGATATTTGATTAACGTGATTTTTTATAAACATATAATACTTAACGAGTTCTACACATTGACAGTTCAGATTTTTAAAACAGGACTCACAGTGGACCCCCACGGACCCAACAGCACGATCCAGTCCAATGGTGGACTGGACCAAAGCCAAGCCATTTTTTTTTTCCTTTGCATTTCTAATTCATTAGAGCTATTAGTGCTCTTGTTTTTAGAATTAGGGCTATTAGTGCTCTTGTTTTTAGAGTTCCCAATTAATTTTTAAAATTTAATATTTTAATTTATTAAAATAATTAAAAATTAAGATAGTTAACTTTTTAAATAATGCCTTAATAAATTACAAATGGGTATGTTGCATTTTTCATCTTTACACTTTGATTAAAATTTTATGTTGGTTCTTTTTGTTCCAATTTGGATAATTTAATTCTTATATTTGGTGTTCAATTTTTAATCATTCCGTTTAAATTTTTGTTAATTTTTTTTTACATGTACACTCCAAGAGAGTGACAAATGTCAAAATTTTCAAATGTTAACTTTCAACTTGAATGAAAGTACCAAATTAAAACTACAACTAAAATGTAGGAACTAACCTATTCAATTTAAAATAATAAGGATTAAAATAAAATTTGAATAAAATTACACAAGCTAAAAATATAATTTACCTATTACAAATTAAACTATTCACATGTGTCGGCTCCACATTCATATAACTTTGAGGTCCACACTTTGTTGTAATTAATTGGTAATTTAATGTGTAGTTTATTAAAGATCAATATTTTTTTTTTTTTAATGTTATTTTTAAGAGCTATGGAATTGGTACACATTAGAATAAAGAAGCAGATTTGGTTTCAACCTTGCTGTTGTGTGTGGAAGATGGTTGGCTTTGGGAGTATTGTAGTACAGCTTCACATCTTCATTATCATCTTATTCTTGTGCTAAATAATTGAATTTATAAGACAGGGTCTGCCTGAGTTGCGATGGCCTAAAGCGAAATAATTTTTCTGAGCCTTTTTAGATATTTATAAAAAAAAAAATCACTCTGTATGGTTTAGAGTTTTCAAAAATAATTGTCTGAGTTTGCAATTTGTATTTTTTTTTATATATTTTTTGTATTTGGTAACATTTTTTTAAAATATATATAAATATTATAATTTTTAAGCGTATTCAAATTAGATGTATCTATACAATAAATAAATAAAAATTGTGTAAAATATTTTTTAAAAAAAATATTAAAAAACACATAATTGAACCATAAAGAGAGAAAAAAAAAATAAGTCACACAAAATTAGGCTTACGACTAATACATATACATATATTTTATATTTTATTTTTTTAATTGGACTAACAACTAAAACCTATAAATATTTTTTAATTGGGTCTTTTATCAACTGGGTCAAATAGACTTTTTGAGGCCCCCTTTAAAATTGCCTAAATTAATTAAACAAAATTGGGCCAGTTTAAGTTTTTAATATAGTTCAAGACTAAATTTGAGAGTCTTTTTTTGGGGCCTAATTTTTTGGGCCCTAGGAACAGGCCTCACCCGCCTTAGCCCATGGCTGGCCCTAAGAGATGAATAACTATGGAAGGCGACCAATGAGCATTTTCTTTTAAAGATAAAATGTACCTTCAAAAAAAAAAATTTGAGGTAGCGTTTCGTTAATCATGATTTGAATGTGAAGTTATACTTTAAGTTTGTGAGTTTTAGAATTATGATTTGAAAAGAAAAAATTTATTTGATTTTGAATTTTGAAAAGAGTTTTGAATTGAGTATTGAATTTTTAAAATAAGTGTTTGGTTTGTGAAAAGTTATTTGATTATGAGTTTTGAAAAAAAAAATTAAAACTTAATTCAAAAACTTATAACTCATAATCAAACACACAATTCAAAACTCAATTAAAAATTCTTTTCAAAACTTATAACCAAGCTCTTTTTAAAATTCAATTTACAAAAATTAATTATTGGAAAAAATAATTTTTTATTTAAAAAATTAAAAAAAAGTTGGAAAATATTTTTTTATTTAAAATATTTAAAAAATATTATTATTTGTTAACAAAAATATTTAGTTAGTGGTTTAAAATTACTTTTGATTGTATATTTGGTTGGAAATTTTATTTTAATTGTTTTGTTTAAAAATATATTTTTTTATTTTTTAAAAATTACTGTGACAAATTAATTTTTATTTATTTATTTTTGTTAATTTTAAATAATGTCCAAGTAATTTGTCATTTTGGTCTCAAAAAAATATTTTCTATATTTAAAAAAAATCAAAAACAAATATTTTTTTCTTTTTCAGATAACAGGTGCCAATTGTTTTAAAATAATAAATAAATAAATAACACTATTTGACCGGATGTCTGGGAGGATGTCTGAAGGACTACTGAGTAGACTTAAAAAGACTTAAAAATTCAAAAACTATCTGGACGAACGACATGATAGACCAAAAATTCAAACACTCTCTAGTTTACCAAACATGTTTTCAAGATGTGTTTTGAAATTGATTTAGAATCATAATTTAAAATTTGTGATCAAATAGAAGGTTGATTATTAATGTGGAATCATGATTTGAGAATCAAACCAAACACAGCCTTTGTGTTTTGAAATATGGATGAATTTTTTTATAATTAGATAGATGTGATATTTGTGGGGAAAACAAAAAGTGAAACAATTACAAATTTAATGTGACATTTTGTCTAATTGATTATTTTAACCTATTTTGTCCTTTTGCAAATTTTAACTCAAAAAGCAAAAAACCACCTTTGCCAAACAAGGCCTAAGGGTCTCAAAAATAAATCAAATAACATTGCATTGTCATATTGCATTAAGACAAGGCCGTTTACAAATAGAACTTTTCTCATTTTTTTCTATCTGCCCAAACAGAACCTCTTTCTTGTTAGAGTAATGTTATATAAATTAGTAATAAAATTTTACAAACTTTTCCATTTAATACGACACTTGTTACGTAATTAAACTGAGTGTCATTCTAATTCTTTTTTAATGCATAGCACATTAAGGCTTATTTTGAGAAGATGGTAAAAAGTGATTTTTTGGCTTTTAACTAAGTTTTTGACTTTTTTAGACAAATGATTTGAAAAATTGGTAAAAAGTGACTTTTGACTTTTTTTATTAATATTTGTTTATGATGTCAAATCATAATAAAATGACTAAACTACCCCCATTTATTTAAAATATTTACAACTTCACCTATGTAACACATTTTGACCCATGAGGGGTAAAATTGGCATTTCACCGTTGGCTAAAAACCAACTTCCCAAATGAAAAAAAAGCCAAAAAAGCCAACTTTGGCTTTTGCTACTAACCAAAAAAAGTGGCTAAAAACTATGTTGCCAAAATAAGCCTAAGCAATAAATAAATAAAAATAGTACCTGCTTGAAAATTTGCAGTTGGAACCTACTGTGTTTTTGTTCATGTCTGTTGCATTGGTCAAATGTCATATGTACTGAGCATGCTTGACCAATTCATGCTCAGTTAAGATCATTGAAGTGACACTGGTGAAGGTCACTTGTGCTTCTCCCAAAATTATAGTTTGCTTGGGAGCAAATACAGGTGTACTCTAACTTGAATTTTATTGACTCACCACTCTCTTATGGAAGACAACACGACACATCCTAAGCGATGTGGAGCAGTGCTCCAAGATCACCAAATAACTTCCTCTATCGAGATAGAATAATATGCCATTGGGGGTCCCCATTATGGCACTTGATTTTCCAGCTCCACCTGGTCTCATCAAAGTAGAATTCAACCCAACTAAACAGCTGAAAAAGTAATCATCCCCTCGCATGAGATAAGTCCCACAAATCTATAGCAAAATTGATTAGTAGGCAAATAATTACCCACATATTGCATTAATCTCAATGTATATAACAAGCGTTAGGCACCGATGGTTCACTGGTCTTTCTGCCACTTATAGCAGACACATTTTATGTTCCAAATTCTCACAAAAATGAAAGTAAAAAATGTATGTACTTAATAAGATTATAGGATCATGCCCAAAGAAAATATTTGGTAAAGACTAGTTTGGATTGGATATCAGAAGATGACCCCTCTCTACACTCTTTTATAAGATCTCAAATATATTGTGAAGCCTTTTATTCTTGCAGATTTACTCAAATGTACATACATTGCGAAAGAAGGAATTTTACATACAACGAACTAAACTACTGCCATCCCTGTTCACTTGGAACCTCACAAAGCAAAAGAACCAAAACCCAAACCCCCCCCCCGTTTTCCCCCCCGGGGGGGGGGTGTTTTTTTTTTTGAAAGGACTCCAGTGAACCAGGGCTATTGGTACTGAGGAAAATTTCAAAAAATAAAATTAATTTAACAACATTGTCTCCCTAAGCTTCCCTATATTCAATACCGGCTTCAGCTTCAGTCAAGCCATTATCATTCTCACTTAACAAGTAGTCACATAGCTCTAGAAGCTGATCTGCAAGGGGAGGAATACCTGGGTTGCGACCATCGTTGTATTTATGAGCGTTGTAGGTGATTTGCCAAACATCGTGCCTGAACTCCTCTCTGCTCTTGTACTCCAACCTCCTCACCTTCTCCTTTATTGTCGACAGATCCATGGGGTGTTTTATGATGTCCAAGTAGTCGGGTGCTTCTTTCTTAGACACGGGTTTTAAGAAGAGGTAGGACACCTCGTACCTGTCCTTGAGGGTTTCCACAATGCTCTCTAAAATGTTGGCCAAACCAACCTGTAATCCAAATCAGAACAAAAATATTGTGTAAATAGGAAAATGTAACATGTTATATAAGCAAATATACATCAGGTAATGATTACAGATGAGAAAATGATCCGATAAAATAGATAGAAGTGCCCTGACCTGCCACACAAGAATGAAAAAATCTATTGGGGCATATTCATCAACAGATCAAGGAAGGTAGAAAATCAATTGTTAACATCATGCTCATTCTGGTAGGGGCTATGTTACATAGTATTCGTGTCAAGTATGGGTACGTATTTAGAATTTGGGCCCAACAAACATCAAATTTTTGGGTGCGTGGACTAGGCAAAAAAATAATCATATTTTTGTATTTTTAATCTATTATGTGAGATAAAATGATGTTACATGTAACATGTAACAATCATACAACAATATATACATGTAATGTTAATATTAAACACAAATATATAAAAGTGCCTGATGGAAGTTGTCGGACACATCCCACACCCGCGTCTAAGTGTCAAGTGTCCAACATAGGTATATGATTTATTTTGAAAGGTCAATGTAACATAGGGTAGGGGTATAGAGCATGATTCCAAGTAATTGTTGTGATTCACAAAAATAATGCCGACTTCAATGAATAACTTAGAGCATCTCCAATGGATTTGTTCAACCCATTGCTAGTGTAAGACAATAACAATTAGCAAACTTCTGCATTTTGCTCCAATGGATACATTAACTGTGTTGTTAGTTAGTGGGTTTGCTAGTACGCTCACCACAGTTGGCGAGCCCATTAGTAAAGGGGGAGAGAGAGAGAGAGAGAGTATGATGGAATGGATGGGACGACTATCATTATTGTCCTTTTCCATTTTTTTCATAAATACAAAATATAAATATATATTTATATATTTTACTGAGTCCCACTCTTACATAACACATGCTTTACCACACCTAATTACACCATTGGAGCACACCATTACTCTCTAAACTAACAAACACTTAACACACAAATGGGTCTCGCTTATACTTTGTTAGCTACACCAATGGAGATGCTCTTATAACACGAAATTTTAACCACAGATCCAATTTTTTAGTAGTCTTTTCATCAGATTTTCCTCTTCAGAAAAAAAGAAGACAACAAATAATCATCCCCAGCTATTAATATTCGTAACACTTGTCCATGTAAGTCATCCAAAAATAAATGAGTCACTAGTGGCAATATAGAGGCCAGTAATGAAACGGAAATCTACATGGAATGTGTAGAAAGGACGGTTAATAACGACGACAGTGTGAGCAACAATTACCTCTCCTCCCTTACGGCGCTTTGTAGCCGGAGCATACTCTGCACCATACCTTCCCAATTCAACTACTGGCCGCCTCTTTGAAGTTCGGTCTCTCTCTGGTAGCCTTCTATCATTTCTTCTTGGCCGGAGCTCATCTACTACTAAATAATCATCTCTTGTCTCAGGCCGTTTCTTCTTTTTTTTCTTCGCCTTCTGACGTTCTTCTTCCTCCCTCTCTCTTCTTATGGATTCTTCATATCTTCTGATCTCAGATAACCTTTCTTGCTCTTCCAGTACCCTCCTTTGTTCATAGAGTCTCCTGGCCCTCTCTTCTCTTTCTCTCTCTGCAATTCTCCTCTTCTCTTCCTCTTCCCACCATCGTTTATCCTCTCTAATTTTTCTCCTAGCTGCCTCTCCAGCTAAACGTTTGCTCTCATAATCGCTATGCTTCTCAAAAGAGGATAATTCAATAATTTTCTTCATCTTCCTGAACTCAAGACCAGCACTACCATCCTTATTGCCCTGGTCCAGATTAATGATCTCCTTTGGTCGTTTGATAATGATCTTCTTACGAGGCTGGTCTCTCTCAGTCTCCACTGGAGGCTTTATCACAATGGAGGGTTTGTGATATTCAACCGGGACATCTTCAGATTTCATCTTGTTGGAGAATATTATTTTATTAACCTTAACAGCAGGTTTATTCCCAGCTTCTGCATCTGACGTTACCATTCTGTCAGAACTTTGCGAGGCTGCCGGAGTGGGTTTATCGGGAAGTTTGTCAGTGGACCCGCATTTGACCTTTAAGACTTTTGCCTTTGTACTAGACTTATCATACTCAGGAGGAGCTTCCACGAGAGCCATTTTTGTTGCACTTTTTGATACAAGCTTCTTGATCAGAGTTTTCTGCTGAGGTTGACCCACACGATCCGAAAAGTTAGATCTCACGGATGCCTTTTCCAGATCTGTACCTTCAACTTGTGTTTCTATATCTTCTCCGTACTTGGGGCAATTCTTGTTGGTCCTCATGTGCCCAAGCTGATATCACAAGGTAAATATCATAATGAAATAATCACATATTTATCACAGTGCAAAACTTCCACCTTTAAGCTACATACCTGTCCACAAGCTCCACAGACAAAACTCTCTCTTGCGGATTTCTTTTCCTTCACAATCTGTATTCAGATGCGAGTTTCATTAAATTGCTTGTAAGCCACATAAAGAGAAGCCCTAATAGAAATTACAATAAGAAAAAGGCATCTATTGACAAATGAAAGAACAGATATCAACTCACATCTGGTGCAAAAATATGTATTTTTAAATATGCAACATGAAATTAACATGAAAAAATGGTAATTGCATATAAAAGTGCTCATAACATTGTTTAATGAAGATTGTTTTCCCTTTATATATATATATATATAGAGAGAGAGAGAGAGAGTTACCTTAATCCCATCTCCCAGTATTTTAACTTTCTTGTTAAGTAAACCAATGTGTTCAATGTCATTCTTCTTCGTAGCTTTTACCTTTCCAGCAAAGTTCTTCTTAACAAGAAGCTTTTCCTCCTGCAACCAAAAAGCAGTGTTATCAATTCCACTAACTTGCAAGATAAAACTGTACATGGTCAAGATACGAGGATATTGTATAGGAAAACAGCTTGATCCAAAAATAGGCTGCAATTATGACAGAAAAACAAAGCCAAAACAACTTGTCAAACCTTCTTTGGGCCTCGAATGATATTTTCTTTTGATGTATAGAATTCATTAGGTTGGGAACCAATAGCAATTTTGTTGACCATTGTACTAGCTTTCTTGGCTCGTTCTGCATTTCCAATACCAAAACCTAAAAGTGAGCCTGTTTCCTCCCCTGCAGCCCTTGTCTTTTTCTTCTTCTTGCGCTCAGCCTCCTCATCTGCAAAACAGTAATCGTTGTGAACTATAAATTATGATAACTTGAAGATTTATTCCTATTTATGACATTCATAAAACCAACACCAGGCAGTTCAGGAAGCAATTTAAAATTTCTGTTCACATAATCAGCATTATGAGTTCCATTCAATGAAAACACATCTAGCAAAGGATACAAGATATTTTTTACATGTTTCATCATGGTCTAAACCGTAGTTGTAGGAATCGCAACTACTGGGAGTGACATTTCCACTCTACTCGCAATTCCACAGTTCAAAGCAAGGTTATTGTTAGAACAGTGTTTCCAACTGGGATGGAACCACTCAAAACATATGAATCCCGAGAAAATAAATAAATAAATAATTCTGTTGAGAACAGATATTTATCTTAGATTTGACTCCTCTTAGGAATTAAAGGATGAGAATTTTTTGATAGATCTTTCAATTTGGGTTTTGTGAGGACAAATAGAAATGATATATGTTATTAGTGATTAATTGATATTTTTTGTAAAGAGAATTTATTATACATTATGTTTTAACAGTATAAGTCGTAGTGTAATGTAGACATTTAACATATCTATTACAAGTATGCAACAAAAATATTTTTTAACAATAAATTTATATATAAAATACAAAAATGCTCTATTAGGAGCGCCCAACCTTAGACTCTTCTATGTGCCCCCTTTCCAGCTACATGCAACTAAGGTCTAAACCTCCACCATATGGAGGGAGCTTCTCTATTTGAATCAACATTATATTCTTCACATTTCATATGTGCTCAGCCTAGCAGGTAGATAGATATAACTAAAATCAAAGGGGAAAAAATTATTCAAAAAGAGAACATTCCCTAAAGCTCATCTGAGGCTTAGATACAGTTCACATCATATCTCACTGCACAAATAATATTCCGCAACCAAATGTTTGCTACGGATAAAATCACAAAGTTGTTAGAAACTATGTAATCCATAAACTCCATACCATCCATAAGCATTCTGCACAGTTCTGCTGCTTCAGCTGCCTCATCTTCAATTTCTTCTTCTGCCTGAGCTTGCAATGGGCGCCTTCTCATTTTAAGTCCCCTTACACCATCAACTTTGTCATGCTTGGATTCATAGTTACCCTCTTCCCCTTCTTCGCATTCTTCTGCGTCCAGCAAATTTTCTAGGTCCCCAGCAAATGAATCCAGGTCACTATTTGCTTCTGAGTCACTCTCAAAATCATCACCGTCAACAGTAGAAAGACTTTGAACTTGTCGATCCCAAATTTCCTGACACTTCTCTCTTGTTTGTTGCTGAAGCTGCAGAAAGGACATACGCTGGCCACGTGCATACTTGCTGATTGTTGTTGGATCAACCTTGACACCAGATGCAGCTTGCTCACTTGAAAGCTTGCGAATCATAGCAATTCGATGCCACCTAGTTTGTTTCGCAATTTGTTCCTCTGGTACATTAAACTTTAGGAGAACCTGAAAAGGAGAATGTAGTTAAGTAAATACAACAATAAAACATCAAGGGTATGTTTGGTTTGGTTTTGGGAGAGTAGTTTTTAAAAAATGTTTTGGGGAGTGAGTTCAGAAATTTTTTTGGTTTGTTTGGCTGTGTATTTTGAAAGTAGTTTTCGAGTTCGGGAGTTTGGAATGATTTGATATTTTGTTATAATTGAGTAGATGTGTATGAAAGAAAAAGTGATTGAGAAGAAGAGAGGAGAGAGAAAAAGTGATTGATTGATAGGTAAGAGAGAGAAAGTGATTTTGGAAATTGTTTTGGAAAATTTACAAACCAAACAAATTTTTTAGAAAATTTTTCCCAAAATCACTCAACAAATCCAAACCAAACATACCCCAAGTCAAAAACAATATTTTGACTAACAAAAGAAGCAAATATTAATTATAAATCTTATTTATAAAAAAAACAACACCCAATTTGTACACATTAGTGTGTGTTTGGGAGATGAAAGATTGGATACACACATAACCTTTGGCATAGTACAGAAAGTGGTTTCCCCATGACTTGAAACCATAACCTCAAGGTTATTAGGCTAAGGTTTTACCATTGAACCAATGGTCACCTCTAAACCTTTGGCCAAGGTTTTTTTCTAGAAATCTTATTTCTAAAAAAAAATAAAAAAATATTCAGGGAGTTAGTTAGCCCTTGACAATCAGGTTGAAAGCCATTATACATGGATGGGCTTGTTTAGTATTTGCATCAGAAAACATTTATTCTCGATTTGAGATCTGTCAATTAAAGAATTAGAGAGAGCACGAGGAAGAAGTTCAGAACCAAGCAATCAGCCATGGAAACTAGGAAATTAGATTTTTTAGAGGATTTTGCAATTTATGAAATCTTCAACATTCTACTACATTCATTAAAAAAGATCCTACATTTCTTAGAATAACCCATGACTAGAACCATCTGAAATTCGCCACCACCGAAAGCATCCCCCAACTCATTGTGTCTCAGTCTCCAAACGTTAGGTCAAGCTCTTGGGCCATAAAACTAGCCATTAATGATTTGTCCATGAGAAGAAACAATTCAACAACATCCAAAAGAAGAAACATTTTAAGAACACTACCTAAAATCTAGGGTAAATTGCGCTCACCTCCCCTGAGGTTTGGGAAAAATACAATTAGCCCCACACTTCTGACATAATTACATTGGCCTCCCTTAAGGTTTTAATTCACATAACAGTTAGGTTCTTTTTCATCAATAATTTGTTAGTCATATGAATGAAAATATGGCATTCTCATGTATTTTCCAACTAAAATGCACATTTATCTTTGTTTATTCTAATGTCTACCCACGATTTGCACTAGTTTCAGTTACTTGAGCCATACCAAAAGGGAGGTTAGTGTAATTATGTCAAAAGTGTGGAGCTAATTGGATTTTCCCCAAACGTCAGGGGAGGTGAGTGTAATTTACTCGAAAATCAAATTCCTGTTTTTATTTTCTCCATGCCTTAACAACTTTAACTACATAAATTAACTGTTGTAACTTCAAATATTTGTTAACCAAAAACCAATCCCCATTTAATAAAGCACATAATATTTGGTTTTAAAAAACCAAATATATGCAACAAAATCCTACTCATATCTTAAAATTTTAGCTTTAGTTTACATGTATGTTTAGATTGTGACTGATATATCAAACCTTCATGTTGCCATATATCAGGAAATATAAAATATTGCTCTAAATTTGAGATGGTGAAATAAGATTACATTTACATAGATACACGATAAAAAACCTCAATTATAAAGCACAGGAATTTTGGTCTCAATATCATCGGGACATGGATAATAGACAGACTTTGGTTATGAATCATTGACCTTTAGCTATAAATACAAGTTTTACAGAATTGTACTGAGAAGAATAAAAGGATAATATAGCCTTTGGAGCTGATTTCAGTTTTGAATTTATAAGATCCTTCCCTTTAAAGCTCATGTTTGAAAGCTGATTAGGTTCAAGTAAAACTTGTTAAAAAACAGTAGTTATTTAAAAAAAGAAAATAGAAATCAGCACACCTCTCGTGCAGCTTCCATGCTCAATCTACGTAGATCAGCATCTGTTCCAGTTACAGTTGAACCTCCCCGACTAACAGCTTGCTTTTTCTTCACCATTGCATTTGATATTGGAGCCTTCGGAGCAGTGCGGACATAGCTAAAACCTAGACCCCTTCCAGATGGATCACCAACACCAGTAATTTCCAAACGCTCAATATTTTCTCTGTCCTGCAAAACAGTAATGAAAGGAAGATCAAAATCAAGTGTAGGCATACAATGGTTTCCTTGGGCTGGATGGAAATAATCAAGACATAAGAATTCTCGATCTGAAAGAATGCATGTTTAGGGTAAATGCATAATGGTTGATCCTAGATATTGGAATAGATGGAAAAAGGTAAGAAAAAGGATGAGAACAGCTAAAGGTTTGATTCCAAATTCAAGATTAATGTTGAAGCTAGTGTTGTCAAAGCTTGTGACTACCCATAACTTAAGCACCTAGGCAACTTGAACAAGAGGCAGTTCTGCAGTAATAAACTCCCACAACAACAATACCACACAATTCTGAAGCCCATACAAGTATTTGCACAATCACCACATCAGCAGCAGAAGTGCTAAGAATACATGGAATAAGAGTGAAATAGTTAACCTGACTAGTACAGGCAACAAAGTTACTACTCAAGCTCCATGGAGTTATTTGCAGTTCCCTCTCGATGTGTGATGCAGCAGCTAAAGCAATAGCTTCATCAGGGAGTTGATTCATTGCAGACGAGAGGCCATTGGAATTAGTCAGCCTTGTAATTCCTAACCGTTTGAGCTTGTACAGTCCAGCTAGCATGCTTTCATAGGCACAGACCTAAGCAAAAGAAAAATAAAGATAATAAATTACATAAATTTTCTTGGAGGATATGCTTCCCTTTCAAATGGTTGCCAATTGGAAATTACAGATAAAAGAAAATTAAAGCGGATAGTATGACGGGGACAAACATTTGAATATGCATATGACAAGATGTAAGAAAAAAGAGAATACTGATACAAGGCAACAAATTTTAAAAACTATCTCGCTCTATAGGGCTAATGCATCTTTTCATATTTATCATTGTTAATAATAATAAACTGATAAATGCACTTGTTGTAAATATAAGTCACTTGAGGAATGCTTCATTAAGTAACATAAGAATTCACAGATGACTGATACATTAAATCAACACATCTCCAGCTCCCTCTTTGATGAGGAAAATCCTTCCATTAAAAATTGGCATTTTGTAAGAAATGAAAAATAAGTCTCAGCTCCATCTTTCCTAACTCTGTTCTTCATACTAGTTTAGGAAAGGCAGCCACAATGGAATGACTGTCCAGCTCACAAAATAAACTCATTATTCGGAGATATGATACTTAAGTCTCATAAAGGACTTAAATTCTTTGATCACGAAGGCATTTGAATTAGTAAGATAGTTATAAAGTGTTCCACAAACTATACAGTGTGTTTGGTTTCAATTTTTTGAAAACTAAGTTTCTTATTTTTCGTTTTTTTTGTTTTTAATAAATATTTTTTAAATTTTAAGCATTTTTTTTACTTTTTTAGATGCACCTAACTTAGATGTATCTAAAAAGTAAAATATTTGTGAAAAAATATTTCAAAAAATTAATAAATACACAAAAATACAAACCATATACTGAATTTTCGTATTTTTTTTTGTATTTTTGGTATTTATAGTGAATTTTTTAAAGATTTTTTCCACGAAAATTATACTTTTTAAGTGTATTTATGCTAGGTGTGTCTAAAAATTAAAAAAAATTGCTTAAAATATTTTAAAAATTCAGTAAAAACAAAAAAAATACGGAAAATAAGAAAGTAGAATTTTCTGAAAAGTGTTTTTAGAAAACCCAAACCAAGCAAAGTGATGGTATTTATAACAAAAAACAAAGGCAAAGATTGTATAGTAGAACTCACATTCTCTGGCGTCACCATCCTTCTCAGTTCCTCCTCCAATGGAATGCGGAAATTACGTCTCATGATCCAATACAGCTGTCCACTTGATCCTCTCTGGTAGGTTGCATATACACAATAATCATCCAGATTATTGGAGAACACAAACATTCCTCATGACAAAGCTAGTGGCAAACACTTGCGCTACCACATTAAAATAACTCTTTATTTTCAAAATTGATAACCATGAATACCTGCAAATCAGCACAATGCTTCAACCTTTTCCGAAGGAAAGGTTCAGACAAGGTAGGAAACTGTGCAGATAACTCATCTGCACGGATGCTTGGAAGTGAGTCACGCTTGTCAATGGCGCGAAACTCACGATACATATAGACCAAAAGCCTATTCATAATGTATGTCTGGACACCTTTTGTCCCTGGAGCCATTACTTCCATGTGAGGCTCCTATAAAAGAAACAAGCCAAAACAGATCAGACAGATTTAGCAAAATCAAAGCTTTACTATAGCTGGCATTTTACATGACAAAACCAATAAGAGATAGCAAAAGTAAAAAGATTGAACTTAAAATTAAAATGGAAACAAAAGGGGACATGATAAAAACATGCTAACACGACAATTTTTAAAAAATGTAAAATAGACTAATTTTATATATTAATTATAGTCACCTTATGCCAAAGGTTGCACCTGTATCCAATCTACCCCATCTATACCACCATCCAATGAGGACTAAACTGGGCATACTTTACATAAATATATATATATATATGTGAATACATCATCAAGACAATAAAAAAAAATACAACACAACACTATTTTCTAAAATTCAAAGGTGGAAGGACTAATAGATATGAATCTACATTTTTAATCAAAGTGTCCTAAGTTATTTGGTTCAAACTTGTAATATGTATCACATGTGTTTAAGCGATGGACATGTGTGTCTCCCAGGTGTCTGAAGCGTGTCCGAGTCTTAGAAGCATCTGATGTCTATAATGTACTTGTTCAAACTTCTGCAGCAGCTACCACTCATATCGGAGGTCCTCAATCACTCACACATCCTAGGAGCATACATGACCGCCACCATAATGAGCAAGATCAAGAAGCCCAAGCACAAACAATGGGTGTGTTGCATGTGTCTATGTCCATATGCAGAAAGGTTTCCGTTCGACCACAGACAGGTACATTTTCATTTTACTTGAGCCTTCGTCACTTATGACGATGCTCCTTCTAATACACAAAGGCAACTCTCTACGGGGGCAAGATTTAGGCAGAAAATGAATGAATCATTGGAACCAGTTTAAAGCATTTTCTCCTGGAAGGTGGAGGATCCCCTTCACACTTGGAGGGGGCTAGAGTGGAGAAGTGGAGGCAGATTTGGTTTCTGATGCCTTTGGCTTTGATGTGGATCTTATGGGGAGAACAAAATAGGACTTTCGACAAAAAGAAAGAGCCTTTAGAATGAAAAGTAGAATTTTGTTTCTTCAAAATAGTTGGTTCTCAGGGACTATGATGCATCCTTAAACCAATTTTTTGATTTTGAAGTCTTTTGAGTAAATTTTGATAGATGGGTGATACGGTAATTGTCCATATTTTGTACATGAGCTGCACCTGTCATTAGTGCCTTCTGTAATACAATACTTATCCCAAAAAAACAAAAAACTAATTTCCACATCTTATACTAATGAATACATAACATCAATCCATATCAGGGACACCATATAAATGTCTGTTCATATACAGAACACACTTTAATCACACAATAACTGCCTAGAGCCTTCCATTCAAAGGACACCAAATGCCTAGACATAATAACTCAAGAAGTCCCCTGCACCTGATACTGCATTCACATGCAGATATAGTACAAGGAGAGAAAAACTAGTGTGCACATAAAACAAAACAAAAATAATAACACGTCATTATTCCCAGGTCAAGAAGATGAAGATCTAAACAAACAGGCAGGATCAACGTAAGCAAAAAATTGCATCATCGGCAATGATTGGATGAGTAATAAGAAAATCATCAAAAAGCATTCTTTAAATAGTTAGGTTTCAGTAAATTAAGCCCCAAAAAAATACCAATGTTACCTGTTGTCCAACAACATCAAGCCTGTCAATCCGTCTTATTGAAAGCTTTCCCTTTGTAGAACGAACCAACAAATAGTCAGTTGATGACACCTTATGAGGAAATATAGGAGCCCTATACATGTTAGTTTCAAGACATGATTGGCTGCAGCCAGCTTTTATATCTCCAAGGAAAGGAGATTTATCAGCTGGATCAAGTATGAGGACACTCCCCAAACTGTTGTTTCCATTACGCAACAAGTTCCCAGTTTGATCGCCTGGGGTAGATTTCTGATAATAAGTGCATAGTCTAGCACCCATACCAGCATTCCCAAGAAGTAGAGGCCTTTCTTCGCAGTACCTACAAATAAAACAATAGAAGTGAGAATTGCTGAAAAATTCAATTCCAAAAGGAAAATACTTAACTTGAAAACAAATCACAAACCAAACCAAACTAAGCCCAACAGTCTTTTAAGTGTATTTTGTTCAATACAGCCCATCAAATTGAACAAGGTCCATGTAACACAAAGACATGCAAAAGCATCAGTGGCACAAAATCCAGTAATTACCTTACAGGAGAGATACAAGTGCACCGCTACATAGGATAGAGGCTTAATCTTATCATCATGTCATGAAACAATTACAGGAAGTAAGACAGAAATAAGTAAAAGAGATAGCAAATGAATAAAAATAGAATAGATACAACCAACATGGCTTGCATTGAATCAAAAATGGAATTATGTAAAGGAATGAAAATGTCCTGTTTTATCAATGGAAGAAATTATATATAGGTTGTTTCAAAAATTAAATTCTACAAATAATTTATTTTTAAGCAATCTACAAGTAAAAAGGCATGGAAGGTGGACTCATTATGTGTAATGTGGACTATTTGGAAGGAAAGAAATAGGAGAACGGAGAACTTTTGAAAAAGCTGATTTATGGAGACACAAATATGCTCTTTTACATAGCTTCCAATTTTGGCTAGAAAGGAAAATTTTGTGATTCATCCTTTGCTTTTATTAATTTTATGGGAGGAATCTCTCTTTTGTAGAAGCTGTCTATGTGAGCTTTGATCACCTCTATATACTTCCAGAATATAGGTTTTTCCTCTTTACCTTTAAAAAAAAAACTGAAACTAGTTCTATTACACAAAATAAGTTAAAAGAATTTTAGTTCAAGAAAAAAAGTTCAACAGATCAAGATGAGAAGCAAATCAACTACCTGAAATCAAATCAACAAAAGTTTGAGCACTACTGCTAAGATTAAGAGAAGCACAGGCTGTGTTTGGTAAGGCCTTCAAAACTCAATTCCACCCCTTGGTTTGAGTGTGGTGTTTGGTTAGAGTTTCAAAAAATTAATTCCACACCCACTTTTGAAAACATGTCTACCCGGTCATCCTTCCGGACGTCCAGCCAGTTGATCAGAACAGTGTTCATGTGTTTTTTTTTATTTTATTTTTTTTGGCACCTGTTATTTTTATATTTTAAATAAAAAATATTTTCAGAATTTTTTAAAATTTTTTTGAGCTTTGAATAGAATTTTGGGTTGTGTGTTTGGTTATGAGTTGTAAGTTTTGAATCAAATATCATGTCACATCAAAAATTTCAAACTCAATTCAAAACTCATAACTAAACAAATTTTCCACACTCAAATCAGAATTTCAAAACTCACAAACTCAAAATACAACTCTATTCTCAAATCATAATCCTAAAACTCTACCAAACGCTACCTTACTAGCCATTTTACTATAATCCAAGGAAACTCCAATTACAGATAAAGATCATGATCTAGACTTTCAAGTAACTTACTCCATCAGGAAGACATGGCCATCTCTCACAGAAAGATCAGATTTCTTCTTAAATGCCCCAGGGGGTCGCAAAGACTTATTCTCACCAGGAACCTTTTGTGCTCTTGGCAACAAATTTATTTTTGCACGAACAAGATGAAGCAAGGAGTTTGGTCGAACATTTTGTGCAGCAAGGGATTTATGAACTTCAAGCTCTCGTCCAGAATAAAATATTTTCAGTGGTTCCAACGGTTTAAAATCTACAAAAACAAAAGCAACAAAGAGGGTCTGAGTTTTCCCCAAAAGAGAAATTAGGCCTTGTTTGGGAACAGACTTTTTTAGTAACTTTTTGACTTTTTAGTTAAAATGTGATGTAAAAAAATTAGTATGTTTGGAATGACTTTTTGACTTTTTACGAAAAGATGTGCAAAAAGTACAGGGAAAAGGGAATTTTTGACTTTTTGAAATGAGTTGATGGTTTTTTGATTTTTTGATTTTTTTAGTGACTTTTTGACTTTTTGGCTAAAAAATTCACTTGCCAAACGAGGCCTAAGAATAATGAATAAGAATAACAAAGAAACGTGAAAAAGTATTCAAGACACTAAGCCAACAATAAGAATTCAAGCAAAAAGCACATGTTTAAGATAAATAAGCAACCTAGCTTTTTTGAAGCTTTTGCTTTGACAGAAGAAATGGTCTCCTCGGCATCCACATGAAGTTTACTTCCTTTACCCCCCAAGCTCTTCAATATAATTTTCATAGGCCCTTGAGTAGGTAGCTTCCCTTGTTCTTTAAGTACCACCTCATTATCATGTGGGTACCATAAAGCTTTTGGCCGATGAAAGTTCGCAATATCTTTACTGCAAAAAAATAGGTAAGAGTCCACAGCCAATACAGAAAATGGAGCATGTCTTGGAAGTAAGATAAGAGTAATGTAAATTACACCACAAATAGCCATACACAAACATAAGAAAGAGAACACATAAACCCATAAGAGGATTCCAAATCACGCATGAAGCACAGTCATTCTGCATGATATTTAGAACAACAATTGCATACAGAAGTAACAATAAATGACAATATTTAAGTATGTAGGCAATATTTTTAGTATGGCATAAGTCCCAACAACTTTCCAGTTTTTTGACTGACCAAAATAATATACAGATTTACAACCATACAAGTTCAAAAATAAGAAATGATGAAAGAAAAATTAATAGAATATGGAAAGCCAAATGGACAAACTTCGAAATTTCACATGCCTACAGAAGTGATTACATGCCATGAACATCAAACCGTGGAAGCCATGTAAGAGGGTGAAGAAAGCAAAATAAAAATAAATAAGACTTACAAAAAAATGGCATAATTCTAATTGCTAATCCAAAATATTATAATATAAACAACTAGCAACTAGTTACTTTACTATAGAAGTTTTCTCTAAAATCACAATCATAGCATTTACTATTTTACTATTCTCTCAATTGAAAGAAAATAAAAGTTGGTTCCATATCTGACTCCATTATACAAGCAATTTAACACAATTTGAAATATATACTGAAGTTGTTCGAAATGCTCCTTGGAACAAGACATGGTAAGATATATGATATATATCAGAATAGAAAGGACCCAAATTATGTTGACTTCTCCCAACCAATAAGAAAAATGGCAACAACATGAAGGAACTATGGTGAGATAAGGTATGTAATCTTACTTGCTTAACTTTGGTTTCGTTGTCTGCAGCTTGAGTGCAGGTATTGAATGCAAGACTTTGACACCATGAGCAGCACGCTTTTTAGAGTGTGATTTCAGTTGCTGAGAAATTTTTCTGCTTGAATAGAATTTGTCATTAGCAATGTTGAATCGGGCACCAGATGGACCTCCATGGCCATGAAGCTCCAAAGAATCCCCACCACTGGACTTCACAGAACGAGTTATGAACATAGCCCCAGCATGAAGCCGAAGGTGTTTACCATCCTTGTTATCTAAAATTTCAAACAGCATCTGTTCATCTTGAAGATCAAGGATTAGCTTTGGTTTTGCAATTGATTGGTGTGGCTCCCAAATTATTCTGTCCAACCACGATCCTTCCACTATGTCTCTGTTTTGCAATGTGAGTTTGCTAAAACGCTTTATGGCATCACTGTGGTGGATCTCTTCAGTGATATCACCCTTTCTACCATCTGAATTGTTTGGATGTTCTAACCGCGACTCCAACCTCAAAAGTTGGGGATGACATCTGCTTTCTGAGTAGGATTGGTTTGTCAGACCCAAAATTTCATTTGAGCCAAAGGGCTCCACTGAAACAGGGCAGCTATGCAGAAAAAAACCACAATCTCTCTCATCAGATTCCATCTGCAGTTCTGGCTGAGTATTATGTGGTCTAGATTCCAGTTCTGTTTGTATGCCAAACAAATCTTCAGAGTCAGATCCAGAGGTCTCACAACTCCCTGCAGCGTTGTAACTCTGTGCAGGAGAATTGTCCCAAATGATTTTTTCTTCCCAATCTTGTTGATCAAGAGGATAAAATTTAGGGGACAAAGTTGAGCTCCATTCAGCAGACAGATCTAATGTTGTATCCTCTTTCATTGGTTCAGCACTAAGATAAGAGTCCAGCCTTTGCTCATCAACTTGAGAAGCCATCATGGGAGTCCCTTGAATAAACCCAAATTTTGCTGATTCAAATTCATCATCCATTGTTCCCAAAATATTGTCTTGAACAGCATGTGCATGCTTCGTAAAAGAAACACCTTGGCAAGTGCCCTTTAGGAATCCCTCTTCATCCTCTTCAACAATATGAGAAGTATCCAACGACTCATATTTCTCTGGAAGAATGAAGCCAAAAATTACAGGGACATTTAAAAACAGAATTATGCTTATGCAAAAATAAAACAAGGATCAACAAAAAAAATGTTTTTCATTTATCTAATCATGAAACAAAACCAAGTTTAACAAATGCAAATAAGAAGTTACACCAAGCCAAGGAGGTTAGTAGTTTGCCTATGTAAAGTTCCGTAAAGGATTAAACCAAGTCATTGCACAAATCACTGTCAAAAAGTTCCATAATGGCATTGCTCGAGAAGGCAGAAACATCAAGTCTGAAAGAATATTCCTTACACAACTGCAACTACATACCTTTAGGAATTGTATACTTCCTGTCCTTCTTCTCTTTCTCCCGTGGTTTATAATTACCAAAAATTTCAGAGAAGCGTAAGATGACTGTCCCATCTTCTACACATAAAATAGGTAGTGGCGTAGAACTTTTATCATCAAACAGCTCCTCTAGATCTTCAGGTTCCTCCTAAAGCAACAAGTACAACAAAAATAATAACAATAATAACTAATAACTAATAGGGAAAATGGGATAAACTGCAAGGCAATAGGAAATAAATCACATGAAGTTTGCATGATGGAAAAATAAATAAATATGTTGATAATCCAACATAACACATAAAATATTACAATAATTTGAGGGGATTTTTTGCTTTCAAGGTTTCAAACATAGAGAGATATCAGCACTGTTAATGTTCTACTATGGCCTGTCATCTTAAAGTGATGAATAAAGGTCAAAGTTGAAGAACCAAACACATTAATTATGGTGAGCCTTCAAAACCCCATCCCAACCAAAAAGAAAATTGAAAGGAGAAAAATACAATGTGTTACCTTTCATGCACAATGCAAGAAGGGATTTCATGACCAAAAACAAAATGGTTGATTAACACAAGAAAATTACAAATATGACAAGGAACGAAAATAAATCCTAGTTTATGAGCTCAAAAACATTATACCAATGTTTACATCATATAAACAAGAACATGCATACACTACACCCTTTTATATATTTCTTCTTAAAACTAATCCAACGACATATGATAATGCTCCAGAAGATTCAAGGATTCTACTTAAAATTAAAGCAAAAACTACCAGTCAGTTCAACACAGCAAAGGACTGCACCATGGAAATTTTTTTAATTAAAAATAAAAATAATAATAAAGAAAATCGGATGGTTTCCTATCAACACAATGCCTTTTAACTAAAAGTAATTTTCCTTGAGTTTCTGATAACGTATTGTACCACCTAATATTTAGAAATTCTATTAAAAGTATACACGTAAACTGAGATCCAAAACATATACATTTTGATTATCTAACTATTTCCATATCCAGATTTTAATTTATAAAAATAGTTAATTTAGTGATGCTAACACCAAAGCATAAAAATACCGAATTGGAAGTGCTCACAAATCACAAAAAAAATGAAGGAAAAGAAGAGGATAAAAAAAGTCCTAACAGCTAAAAAAAATTATGAAGTAAAAAATAAACATAAAAAAAGAAAAGATATAATGAAAAAGAAAGTGGCTTGATGCAGACCTCCTGATCTGACAAATCAACTGGCAACTTTTCTGTTTCAAAAGAGCCAGTCTCTAGATCATCCACAGGATATTTCTCACCTTCAGAAAGTGTTGTGAGAGTATCACCTGGCTCACCTGAAAAAGGAGTAAATAAACTCATTAAATGTCAACAAGATAAACCAGGAATAAGTTATTCTGTTTTCATGAATGTTCCAATGCCAAGGAGAACTTGAAAGAAAATAAGAGCTAAAAAATAATAATAATAACAAAAAATAAATAAAAAACCTTAACCAAGATAGTAATTTAATAAAGTGGAGACTCAAAACTACAATGTTTCATGCTAATTTTTCAGAAACTGACTCAAATTAGGTGGGATTTTCACCCAATGGGATGCAAAGAATATAGAACAAGGGATAGAACTGAAGATACAATGATGCATTTAACTTATACTTTACAGAATGCTAAGTGAGGCAGACCAGCCTCAACTCTTCAACAATATTACCAAATATAAAATTTGAAATAGGAACCGCAACCTCCATTTCTAAAACACCTGCATGACTCTCACACATGCCATAGAGGGTATGGCGTTAAACTCTGCTAGAGAAAGCATTTGGACCCTAGACAATAAATTAGATTCTAAAGGATTATCCTCTTCCTAACAAGGATCCCTGAGTGTTTTTAAAAAAAAAATTCCATGACCCTTTGAACAACAACACAGTTTCTTTCCTGTTATCATATCCAAGCCGAATCCATCAATCAGGTTCAAAATATTCTTTCAAAGATCCAATCTCAAAGAACACAAAAAAGTTGGCCAAGATGGTATAGAATTCAGAACACCCTAAACAACCGGCCAAAACAATCCTGTTCCAACCAACCTTTTTTGATAAATGAAGGAATCTGAAGAGCTATACATGTTCATACAAACCTCACATACAGATATCACACAAAAAAGTACAATGGAAGTGTCCTGGGGGGTTGGAAAGGACAATCTCAAATTTCAATTAATTTTAATTTTTGCTTCCTATTAGAATTAAAATGTTTGGCTCTCACAAATGCAGATACATGGTTTAAGTTTTACTCTAGTCAACCAGATTGAGGGCTGGTTGACAGTCCTAGTTGACCAGAACTTCTTATGGTCAACCAAGACTAGTAAGTGGACACTTGTGTTGCTTTATTAATTCAACTTCTAATCTTTTAATCGTACTTCATACAGTTCCTTTTGTGTCATAAACAATTTTGTACAATATTTAACTTCATAATTTTAGATAATGTATTCAATATTCAATGTGTATACTCAATCAATGAGTTCAACTTTTAACATAAGAGTACAACTTGTGAGTGTGCATAGCATTCAACACATATTAAACATTAATCATCATAATCTCATCATACAGACAAAAGATAAGCATAAATGTAAAGATATGAATACAAGGAATTTATAGTAGTTCCGCAAACCACAACTTGTCTACATCCACTCTCAGTATCCCCTACCGGCATTAATCCAGTAATCACAACGGGTTTCCTTTGCTGTCACCCAAAACCATTACAAACACTTCTTAGGGTTTTCACTAGGATCCACCCTAAACCTCTTCTACATACCACAAACAACGGTTAGGCTCACCCAAAACCACAACCTCCAATCACAACCTAACACTTCACTAGATTTACAAAATCTAGAAATATAGACTTCAAGGGGATCCAATACCCTTAAATATCTCTATGTGAGAATAGCATGCTGTGTGTGATACAATAAATAGTGTACAAACTACAAACATTGGGTTTAGGCTCACCCAAAACCGCAACCTCCAATCGCAACCAAACAACTTCACTGGATTTACAAAATCTAGAAATATAGACTTCAAGGGGATTCGATACACTTAAACTTCTCTTTGTGAGACTAGTGGCTCTGTGTGATACAGTAGTGTACAAGCTACACTAAGGGAATGAGGATTTACCTTCCACAAGTGAAAAGAATTTCAAAGACTCCTAGGAGTAAACCCCTGAAACACATTTGGTTGAAGGTAGAAGGCTATTCTCACTGTCCAATCTTGGATTAACACTCCTTATAAGCACGTGAAGACATAAGAGAAGTGGAAACTCACTTGGTGCCTTCCCCTTGTCAAGAAATCCCAATAAGGAGTGTTGGGGTTCATATAGAAAAAGTCTCAACAGCTATAATAATGATTAGTATTAGTTTTCAAACCGCACAGTTGGCCAGCCCATACAAAATTTTGGTCACCCCACATGTCAGACTAATATTTTGGAATCTCATTTTGGGTCCATCCAATGTTAAGTCTTGGCCAGCCCATGCATCATTGCAAAAATTCCTCCCTTTGGATATCCAGTAAGGTCAACACACCAATTAGTTTTGGCCAGCCCACGTGTGAGTTTGGCATGCAACCAAAACCTATCTGGTCAACCAACCCATATATTTAGTCACCAGTTGACTTAACATCCCGAGTTGACCAAATGAATCGCTAAGTCCGTTTTTCAGAGTCTCCTTGGTCCAATCCTTGTCCAAAGCTTTCTCCATACCAATGAAATTCTCCCATATCATTTCTTTGAAGCTTCCAAGGTTTCTAGCGTGTCCATGCGCTTAAGGTTCTACACAAGGTTTCACATTACAAAGACATGAAATTGGCAACCTAATGCTAGTCCCAACCCAACTCTAACATTAAAAAAAAAAAAAATACAGGGAATAGTCCATTTACTGCTGAAAAATGGACCAAAATCCAGGATCTTCACAAATATTGTTGCCGAAATTTGAGGAATAGAAAATTATTGGCTTGTGTTTGATTACAATGTTGTGGTCTCCTAAACATAACTTAAGAGTGAAATTCAGAGGAAACAAGTATATGAAGGTGTTTGAGTTTCTTTGATGAATTAAAGTTATCTGCTGCATTCCAAATAGCATGAAAACCAAGCAAGCACGGGTGCGGGTACGAGTGCGGGTACGCCGATTCGGCAAAACTCAAAAAAAGTATGATACGGGTACGGCTACGGTACGCCGATATATATATATTATATAATTATGGTTAAAGGATCCAACCGACAAATTAAAATTGAATATCAAAACTAAAAAGAGAACTACTCATTTTCCTATAATTTAAAACCATAAGCGTTAAAAATAATATTTGTGAAATCTCTCACTTTGACATGTTATACACTGTGAATTTGTGATCATAATTTATTTTTAAAATCTTTCTTTTTGCTCATCAATTTGCTATTTTTATAGGGCCCAAAGAAATATCAGGAGACCAATACATAAAATTGTATCATTCCCAACCACTACTAATCAACTAATACCATATCAATTTTTAATGTTTTGTGCATAACTTTAAAATTTTGTTATGATTAAAGATTTTATAAAGAAATTCTAAGAGGATCTGAAGCAAAAGCATATAATGCATAGTCATACACAGAGCTGCCCTTTATAGGCCTTGTTATTTTTTTTGTTCAAATTGCTTTTTAAAACATCAAAAATCATTTGCTGATATGCTTATACAATTCATACAGACACAGGACAGCAGAGAAACATCAAAATTGCTGATCTGCAAGGGCACAAAAAAAACAAAAAATAAATAAAAATAAAAAAATTGCTGATCTACAAGGGCAACAAAATAAAAAATAAAAAAAGGCCTCGGCGTACCCATGGCGTACCCACGCCGTACCCGAATGAACCAAACGTACCGGACCCCTTTTGCCGTACCCGGTACGTGTACCCATGCGTACCCACGCCGTACCCGAATGAACCAAACATACCGGACCCCCTTTTGCCGTACCCGGTACGCGTACCGCCATACCGGTACGCGTACCCGCACCCATTAAGTACCCGGTACTCGTACGGCACTATTTTTGGAGTACCCGTGGTTCATAGATGAAAACACAATTGAAATAGCAATGCAAAGATAGCACCATAAGGACTGTGCTGAAATATATATACAGCCATCAAAAGTTGGTCCAACTGCATACAAAGTGCAAGAGGGGGAGAAGACAAAAAAAAAAATTTAAATAATAAAAAAAGAAAAAAAAAAGGGAGAGAGAGAACAGGGAAAAAGATCGTTTATCCCTTGAAAAGCCAATTAAAGAAAAATAATTTCACATTAAGTCTAAAAATAGAATCATGCAAAAACAATAGCAAACTGTAAACTAGAATTGATTAGCATCAATCAGAAAGTATGTACAAAAGAAGGAATCAATAAGGATATCAAAAGAAGATCATTTAAAAGGTCAATCCAAGACAATAGGCATTGTGATGCGAAAAGCTTTGCTTGGAGAAGTAGAAGGAACATGTATCACATGCGCAAAATCTGAGAAAATACCACACAAATATTCTACCATAGTAGTCCCAAAACAAAAAAGTTCATCAGTTATCGACAAAAAATATATCTTATACAAAGTTGACCATGCAGGATTGTAATGAAGATCACATTTAATATATGTAACTTGCAATTTGCCACCCTTTGTTGTTTTAAACAACCAAGTAACATAAAGCCTCATTTCAAGAACCCAATTTCTACATCTTACAATATTAGGGGTGGGCTTTTGTGCAATTAGATTAGTGTACAAATTAACAATCAAGCCATACATAATTAAAATTTTATAGGATTTGCGTAATATGTATAAACAACAAATAGGGCTATGACTACCCAAATCTCATTAAACAAAATGATGAAACATATATTCCAAAATAATTTCAACTAATAAATTCCAGCCTAACAAACGTGTGTGGATCATATAGTAAACCTGATGAGGGAATATTTTGAACTTCAGTGTTGGTATCCACCAACTCAGGTTCTTTCTCAAATTCTTCTTCCTCATCATCGTAATTTTCATCATCAAACACAGAAGTTTTTTGCTCCAAAGTAGCCACTGAAACTTCTGTAGAAAAATAGTCCTTTTTGGGCAACAAATAGTCCTCTTCAGAAGTAGCATGAATCTCTGGTCCCTCATACTGTTCATCAATGTCTTCATAATCAACAGCATCTTCGGCCTTCTCATCATAATCTAGTGGCAGTAAAAAAACAGCCCCCGCTTAGTCAGAAGATATCAGTGGAAAAAGGTCATCAGTATAATTGTGAGGCAACTGAAAATTTGTTTCATAAAAAGCCAGTTATTTGAACACTGTCAGGTTCTGATTAAAGAATACCACCATTGAACCCTAATCTATAGGCAAATAACTTAAACATCAATGTCACATACAGATAATTTTGGATTTACAAAACCTTATCTAAGATCCCAATAACTGGTGTCCAATAAGAGAAAGAAAACAGGCAAAAAAATCTCAAGGCAGACACCTCACAGGGACTACTTGTGCCCAAATGCTTCTTCCTGCTAAAACAACATAATAAAGACCACCAGACTTTAGGCTTATTTGCAGTTTAAAGCATATCAGTCTCAATGCAACAATTCTACTGTTAATATCTCAATATTGTTTGACCATTGTATTCTTACTTTATTAGCTTCGCGTCATTTAGCATATTTGCCCTTACTGCTCATATATGCAACAGTTTAGAAGATGCATGACCAGATATGATTTGTGAACCCTAATGCTTGCATGCATACAAAAAATTCCTGTTAAAAAGGGTCCACACTTCATAATAATAGCATCAGGTTTTTTTTTTTGGCAAGGTCATAGATGATGATGATGATGATCAGCCAATTTTAATCTTCCCAAGCTGCTTCTCAAAAGAATCTTGAAAATGAAAATTGGATATGAGACACCAACAAGAGATTTTCCACTCCATTTACATTTATCATTAGAGATGGCAATTTTCCCCGCCTTGACCCCATATCACGCAGATTTTCTCCGCCCCTGGTAAGAAAATAGAGTGGCGACGGTATTTGGTTACCCCACCCCGTTTTTCCCACCTCACCCCGATTATATTAATTAAATAACATTTATATGTATATATCTATGTCTACATATAATTTAATTTGCTAAATATAGTAAGAGCAAAACATCAAACCAGTCATATATATATATGTATATATCTTACTTTTTTACCTCTATCTTTCATCTTGATTTGTTTAAGCTCTCATTACTCATCAATCTTTGTTTCTCATATTCTATGTCATCCCTCTCTCATTACAACCATCCCCAAGCATCACACATGCAAAATCAAGACACTAATTTTAAGCAGAGAAAAGTTTTTTTCTCTATAGATTTTGCCTTTTCCACTGAATTAAATTTCATGCCCATCACATAGGAAGCCATGACAAAGCATGGATAACCCAATATGAATGGTTAGTATTGGGCCATATCCTTTAGAAATGAATAATTGAAGCAAATACTATAATTTTTTCCAGGAACTGTTTGTACAAGTTTTCAGGAACTACTTGCAATGTAAATACAATACTGCTAACAAATTGTAGTAAAAGAAAAATATTTCAACAAAAATGAAGTCATCAGTTATCTATTGAAGAAACAAAGATACCAATTTAACATAAAAAACTGCACGAGATTAGATTTTCCTGGCACGCAACATCACCTTGTTCAGCAGCGTCAGCAGGGGGGTGTGGTGATTTCCCTGACAACTGAAAATCAAACAAAATAATTAGTATCACAATTTGAAGAAACACATGCTTAACTTACACTCCTCCTGAACCAAAAGGGGGTGGGTGTATTCTACTGGCCACTTGAATCTTAACACTCTCCTAAATGATTATCAAAACCACAGAACAATACATAATGCAGTCTCCATACATCTATATCTGTCAGGGATGGCCCAAGCTTGTCAGCCAACGCAGCAAGATGTTCCTTCGCATCCTGAGAAACACAATTATACCTTTAGTATAAATGCTGAATGATTAGCAGAATAAATAGAACATGTAATCTGTCACCTCCCCCAAAGAAAATATGAAAATACAGAAGATATATGAAACAAGGAAGTTGGAAAAAAGAAAAATCAACTTGATGTATCTTGATCGAAGCGTGAAAGCCAAAAAAACATGTTCCATGAACTATGGAGGGGCCCCCATTTAGTAATCATGTCACAAATATTGCACCACAGTTTTAGAAGTAATAGCACCAGAAAACAGCTGTCAATGAACACATCAGGTTTGTTTCTATTCCATACTGAATAATGAATTTTTTGAACTACCAGAGCCCATAGTACAACTGAAGTGTTTAAAGCTACTGATAAATTAAAACATGTTCCATGAACTATGTCACAAATATTGCACCACAGTTTTAGAAGTAATAGCACCAGAAAACAGCTGTCAATGAACACATCAGGTTTGTTTCTATTCCATACTGAATAATGAATTTTTTGAACTACCAGAGCCCATAGTACAACTGAAGTGTTTAAAGCTACTGATAAATTAAAACGCATGGAACTTGAAGCAAATTAATTACTTCTTGTTTTGAAGAGCATGGCCAGCGGGTGCACATTTGACATAAGGAAACAAAGAATAAGGAGATTACAAGTAAAGTTCAAATTAAAACAGACATGATGGGCAGTTGGCCAAGGCAAAAGCTCACTAGCCACTTGTCTAAGGTTCGATTCTCCTGGGGTATGCAATGCACATTATTTAAAGACGATTGCATGCATGCATGAGGATCGGTCCCAATTCAAAAATTGATCATGATAATATTTAGTCTACAATATGGAAGGATATCGGAAGATACTCTGTCCTTACAGACTATGTAGCACAGGCACTTGTATTGAGCTGTGTCCAAAACAAATACATCTCATAGATACTGGAGATGGCTCAATTATGCTAGTCAAGCTGAATGGTAACCTAGTCACTGAAGCAACTCAAAAATACCTCCAATTCCTAACTAGCCAGGATGCCAAGGAGTAACCATGAAACTTAAAATTTAATCCCTCCAACATGCCAAGGCATCCAAATAGCAGAGTACTTCATAAGGAAGCCAGGTACACAACAAATACATTTGAGAAAGGATTTTTGGATCATTTGGTTCTTTGAAGCACAATTGTGAGAGACCACGCAACTAGATTCAATGGCAGGAACAGGGAAGTGCTTACACCAAAGAGCTTCAAAGGTTTGACGTGCATGAGAACCATTTGATCATTTTGTTTTTGGCAAATACACAACTAAGATGTAAAATCGACTAAGACGTAAAACTAGTTCTCTTCATATTAAAGAATGTGTTCATGCAAACCATTAGACTCTGTTTGGTTTAAGTTTCAAATCATAATTCCACCCTTATGTTTGAATGCTATGTTTGATTTAAGTTTTCAAAAATTGATTCCAACGACACATTTGAATACACATTCCAATGCATGTTTGGCAAGGTGGAGTTTTTGAATTTGCAGATTGGGTCTAGCCAGCCGTCCGCCCGGAAGCCAGTTGACCAGAACAGTGCCTCTTTTTTTCTTTTTTTGGCAATTGCAACCTGTTATTTGAAAACAAAAAATTTATATTTATTTTTGATATTTTTTAAATATATAAATTATTTTTTTTTAGACCGTTTTTAAACAAAACAACTAAAAACAAAAATTCCAACCAAATATATAATCAAAAGTAATTTTAAAGTACTAGCTGAATATTTTTTTTAACAAAAAATAATATATATATTTTTAATATTTAAATAAAAAAATAATTATTTTTTTGAATTCACAGTTCCGGTTACCGCAACTGTTACACTACAGCCTTTACACCCCACAACCGCAACCGCGTCACTGCCACCATTACGGCGACCACAACCGCTTTTCAGAACCTTGGTTATGAGTTATAAGTTTTTGAATTAAGTTCTGAAAACTCTTTTCAAAACTCATAATCAAACAACTTTTCTCATTTCAAAAATCATTTCAAAAATTCAAAACTCAAAACCAAATAAATTTTCTCTTCTCAAATCATGATTCAACAAATCACAAACTCAAAATACAACTCCATTATCAAATCATGATTCTAAAACAAAACCAAACACTACCTTATATTTAAAATGCTTGCTATTACATAAATAGGAGCAAGTTTCATATGGCTCAACAGTAAAAATGTACAACAGCACTAAGCTACCAACTTTTTTAGTTGTTGACCAATATATAGACATGATCTTTCACCATTCGCGCAAAAAATCATATGCTATCAGGTCCCTTAATGTCACTTTTAATATTACCTCAAAATTCTATGCCAAAATTTTAATATAACACTTGTAAAGAATGTGCTTTCTGAACTTCTGCCATAACCTCCAGTGATATGAGTACCAATTCACGTTAACAACAAGCCATTAGCAGTGAACAAGGATATTATGAGGATACACATGAATCCAAACATACTTATTGACACAACTTGTGGATGCTTTATGTATATTAAAAATGCAAAAGAACCAGTTCAATGGGAGAGGCTAAAAACTCAATAGCAGATCAAATAAATGTCCATCGAGAATCCAAATGTAGCTGTTGCTCCATTTTAATTAACAATTTTCCTGTTTACAACAAACATATATAGCAACATACAAATCCTTTCAGAATCATGTAGATAGAAGATGCATGCATATAAGCATATATATATGTATTAGTTGTCCACCAAACATATGTATGCATTTCTGTGGGTAAGTTCAAATTTATGTAATTATAATTTTTTATAGAAAAAAGTACATATATAATAGTAAGCAATGTATCCACATAAATAAATCTGCACACATTTGTGTATTTGCATCTTAAATGATATATTTTTAAAAAGAATGCTACCTCATCAAGGTAATCGACATCAAGATCACCAGAGCCATCAACATTCCCAAACATGAATCCCAAAAGACGGTTACCCCCGCTAGCCTCCTCATACTCATCCTCATCATCTGGCAAGTTAAATATCACTGAAGTTTAAGTAGTAAAAAAGATTTATATACTCAAATCAATAATTTCAAACAATAAGCATTGTTGGCATGATATGTTTACACATGCATCCATACTAGGAAATTCACAATACTTAGGAGTTAGTATTGCATTGCCTTTTCACACATTAAACACAAAAACCGTACCAAGTAAAACCCATAAGCTAAACAACAAGAACACTAATGAGTGGTTGCATATGTGCTTCACAAAGACTTGCATCCAGGACATTTTGCACATGTCGTAATTTAGAATTTCATAATTTCAAACACATGGTTTAAACTCCCCAACGCATGAAAACTTGAATGTCAGGATCCAAAAAACAAGAAATCATGGTGTTTTTCGGGGTATACGTAAAACATGGACAGGATATGAAATCTTTAGCGTAAAAGAACAGATATAATTGAAAATGAAAAGAAAATTTAGATTTATATAATTTCATTAAAAATTTCATTTATATTTAAAGACCAGGGTACGACGCGTGAAGGTTTCACAGAAGCAATATGGGAAACAAAAAAAGGTTCTATTGAAGCAAGGTGAGAGAAGATGAGGGTTAGAAGATGAGTCATCATAACTATATGACGAAGTATATGCACATGTAATGTGATTTTCCTCTAAGAAGCACGGACACTTCTAAAAGCGTAGCGTGTCCATGTCCTTGTTGTGTTGTGTCCATGTCAGACACCAACACTCGTCGAACACTTCCTCAACAGTGTCTGACACTTTCCCAACATGTGTCCGACACTCATCCAAACGTGTCTTCCTTTTTTTAAAATAATTTAGACTCAAATACTCTTTGGACACTTTGAGAACACGTGTGTCCATTGCTTAAACACATGTGTCCACTGATTAAACACATAAAAAACTAATAATAATATGAGTAAACTACCAATAGGTCCTCATAGTTGGACTTAACTCCCCTCAAGTTCTTTTGAAAATAAGTCATAATAAAATCGTTGTTAAAAATCATTTTTCGTGACATTTTTTATATGTCATTAAAAATTGATAATTAGTGACTTTTTTGTCATGATTTTATAAATTGATGCTAAAATTTACAATTAGTGACCTTTTTTTGTAACAAATTTTTTAAACTGTGGCTGAAAGTTGAAAATTAATGACTTTTTTGTAACGAATTTTTTAAATTATCACTAAAACTTATAATTAGTGACATTTTTTTGTGACAAAATTTTCAAACTGTCGTTAAAAATTAACAATAGTAATGTTTTTTAATAATGTTTGATGAAAAAGACCATTAATTATCATAAGACCTATTGGACAATAAATCCACGTATTAAGATCTACACGTAAGTCCCCCTTATAATTTTGAACAAAATAACTTAGAATATGATAATAAAAGAAAATTAATGTTAATTTATAAAAATTAATGTTATATTGCATTTATTTATTATCTTAGAATGATATATTCATATATATAACATATAAATATATAGAATTATATTCTATGTGTGTCCCCCACGTGTCGTGTCTTACATTTTTTGAAAATTGTCATGTCAGCATATCCGTGTCCTATTTGTGTCGTGTCACGTGTCCGTGCTTCTTAAGCTTTCATTATAAAGCTAATAAAGCACTTATAGAGCTAAAGGTGCTCATATACATGGGACTTATACAACATGAAACAAAAATTGATTCATCTGCAATCTAAAAAAACTTATACAATCAAAAAAATAATCTAAAGAGCCATAGTACATCCTTGAACTGACATCTCAACAAAGTTGTACATTCCTCCTCTTCAAAACACAACAAATGAGACACGTCGACACTTCCATATTGACCTACTAGACTCCATCACTAACACAAACCCTTGCAAAAAAAACAAAATAAAAAAAAAACAGTGCAACTCAACTATTATAGGATATTGGTAGTGTTGGCGATTTCCATACCCTTCCCTCATGGAATGTTGTTTTGGGAAGATGGTTAAAAGCTGGCTTTTGGGCTTTTTTTTAAAAAACGTGTAAAAATATGAGAGGTGATGTGACCCAAAATGGATTAAAAGTTGGGAAGTGGCTTTTAACCCACTTCCCAAAAGACTCAAACAGTTCCAGACCCAGTATTTAGTTATCAAAAGAATGTCATCCTACCAGCTTAACATATTGATTTAAGCCTTTAACAGCTAGACACACAGGGTTCGTTTGGTTTGTATTTTTGAAAAATTTTTGAGAAATTTTCTCTACAAATAAATTTTTAAAAGTAATCAAACCAAACAAATTTTTCCAAAAAAATTTCTCAAAACTTGTAAACCAAACAAGTTTTCCAAACAAATCTCTCTCTCACACACATCAAATCAATCACTTTTTCCAAAACTCTCTCTCAAAATAATTTTCCAAAACATCTTTTTGAAAAAAACCAAACCAAACAACTTTTCTTACTTTTTATTTCTAAAACACATCTCTCAAACACAAACCAAACATACCCACAATGCTTCATGCATGGAACATTTTACTAAAAATTAAGAATTTTAATTGCAAGCTTGAAATATTAAATTACCTTCATCTCGACCATCCTGGGAGGTGCTAGCAGATTCATACCCCATGTATATCAACAACTCTGCATTATGCAACAAGTAAATATATCACATACAAAATTATGTACATAAATAGACAATAAATATACAGGAAATGCTATGGTACACACCTCAACATTATGGGAGTCATAACTAAATATATATATATATATAACCAAACATCACACATAAGGTATACCAAAGAACTCTAGGATCATAACTAAAATAATGTCATAACCAACATCATAATAAGTCATAACATAGAATTTCCCTAAATATACATGCACATACAAACAAAAAAAAAAGAACAATTGACTGACCAAAGAAATAGTATGTCCCTGTTTGATGTCCAATAAAAACAAAGTGGGAGTAAACTAGAAAGAAAATTTTTCGATGGTTGAACGTATAGGTTGTCAATACAAAATGCAAATACACATACAAATATATTGCCAAACAATTACCCTAGTAGAATAGTTGGCATAAATGGAGAGAAATTGAACTCTATTCTCAACCAGAAACTTTCGACTACAAAATTTTGAACCAAAGATAAAATAAACAAAACCAAATACGAATAACAGTTTGAAACCCAATAACATTCGGGAAACCAATTGCACCCATTGAAATCAAAAAAAAAAAAAAAAACTTACCAATAGGTGAGAGACACTGTAATACCTAGGGTTTCGAAATTTGGCTGTGATTATCGAAACCTTCTGTTTCAAACAAGAGTTGGGTTTTGAAAGAGACACCTAGGGCTTCATATTTTGACTGATTCCGGAAATCAGTCCCATTTTCCGGCGAGATTGTCAGTATTCCGGCGGTCTCTTGAGTCGTTTCATTATGGTTGAAGGCATAGTGGTAGTTTTCCGGCGAGAATTTGAGATTTTCCGGTTGAATCTTCGGTCGAAGAGAGATAAATAGAGAGCGCAGAGAGAGAACGGGGAATGTGAAATATATACTGACTTCAAGAAGTCTCCGAGGTTTGGGAGTTTGCCCCAAAAATACGCGTCGGGTTGGGGTGGGAAAATCCTAAAAAACGACATCGTTTGTTACTGAAGAACCAAAAAACAATGGATAAATTACCAATACACACCTCTTAAAAAAAAGTATGTTCAAAGAATAAAACTATAGGCATTTATTGGTACATTAATGAATATATCAAAAAAATATATGATATAATTTTATTAGTTTTAAGTTTTTATAATTTGTATGATATGTGGGATTTATAATTTTGAAATTGTAATATTATAACATGTGTTAGTATACTAAGGTCATCTTTGTTTGGGTGGACATGAATTTGGGATTAGATTAATAATTCAATAAAATTATTAATCTGATATTTGGCTAAACAATTGAAGTATGGACTAACAATCTATCCGGATATGGTATCCCACATATGATGGACTATTTAGTCCATTTTTATAACCCTAACTCAATCCAAACATAGGATTGATACACAATCCAAAGAGATTCGTAGTCGTAGGACTAGTAGTCATGGGAATCCTAATCCAACCTAATGTAATCCGCCCAAACAAACATGGCTGCGTTTGATTGAAGGATTAGGGGGAACTATTTACTGTTTGGATTGTAATCCATTAGAAACTTTATATCCAGCATTTATTTTTATATTTTTAAGTTCGTCGGACATGGAGTCTGGCCAGACTCTTTATCCCCTATATGCGGAACTAAACAATCCTAGGGGGAAGGCGGAATTATTTTCATAGGATTAGTATCCCATGGGACTAATGTGTGAAATGTTCATTTTACCCTCATGCTATATTACTTAATAAACAATTGAAAAAGAATAACATGTAGTCTTTTGAACATTTAAAAATTATTTTTTTAGTGTTGTTAATTTAAAATTATATATTAAATAAAAATTATAAATTAAATTTAATTAAAAATAATAAATTAAAAATTATGGCCTTATAAATTAATTTTTTTTAGTGTTGTTAAAAAATTGAATTTATATATTAAATAAAATTATTTTTTTAGTGTTGTTAATTTAAAATTATATATTAAATAAAAATGTACGTTATAAATTATAAATTTAATTTAATTATAAATTATAAATTATAAATTATGGCCTTATAAATTAAAAAAATTTAGTGTTGTAAAATTATAAATTATAAATTATAGATTACAAATTTAAAATTATATATTAAATATAAATATAAATTATAAATTACAAGGGTAAAATAGTCTTTTGACACATTTATCCTTATCCAGTCCGTCCAACCAAACATTAGATTCATTAAAAATAGTTCTTTCCAGATATTAATCTCATAAGAAAACAAATACGGGATACACATCCAATTCAACCAAATAGTCCGAGAAATTCACAGTCCAATAAATTCTAATCCCGCTTATCCTGTCCATCCAATCAAACATATCCTAATTGGTGTGTAGTGCCATTGTTGTTTAAAATATGAATTGCTTCTTATGATTCTAACAATTATATTTTGCTCATTCAAATTTTTAATCACATAACAAATAATTATTTTTATTAATAAATCATTAAGTTAATTAATAATTTTTAACAATATCATAAAAATATTTCAATTACTAATTTAGATAAATATATTGTTACATAGGAGAGAAGTTAGGATTTTTTTTTTTAATTCTATTAAATATAAATTTATTACAAGATGTATTTGTAATTTTCAAAACTATAGGGACAATCCATATTTTAGGCAAATCTTATGAGATATTTTATAATTTATCTCAAAAGGGTTAATTACACTTTTCACCCTTGTGATTTATCTCAAATTTTATTTTAGTTTCTATAGTTTTAATTTGTACAATTTTGTCCCACTTTAAGTCTAGTTTCAATTTGATTCTTCCATCTAAATTAAAGGTTAAAATTGACAGTTGTGAAACTTTTGTCAATTTTTTAAGATTTCAATTTAGCTTTCAATCTAAATTGGAGGTTAATATTAACAATTTTTAGACATTTGCCAATTTTCAAAGGTATATATTTAGACAAAATTTAATAAAAATTTAGACAAAATTACCAAATTAAAACTAATTCTAGATTCTAAAGACTAAATTGTTCAAATTAAAATTATAATAACTAAATTACATAAAGAGAGAAAGGAGTAGAAGAGAGAAAGAAAACAAACCCGAGAGAGAGAAGACAATGCATTTAATTATAGTTGAATTGTGATTTTAATTGTGTTGAATATATTTAATTATCGTTTTATTTATTTGCTAAATTTTTGTTTAGACATATAGTTAGACATAAAGGTTACATTTTTTGTGTGGTGAAAATGATTTTTTACATAAAAAAATATCAAAATAATAAAATATTAGGAAGGGGGAGAAAAAAAAAAAACTCTGATTAAAATTTTTGCTTTAGAACTCATTGAATATTACTTTGATGACAAAGAATCATTTAGACTTGAGCCTTTTCAATTTAACTTACTAAAAGGCAATTTATTTTTATTATTAATATCTTTTTAATTTGATCATTTTTTTAGGTTGCTAGTACTGAGGAATCCATTAAAACAAAATTGATTTTTTTCTTTAAATAGTTCCAAAATTTGGCTAGGATTTGCCCTATTATGAATTCTACAATTTTTATTATATTTTTCAAAGTTTTTAGAGGAACATAAAATTGTGAGCCAATTTTTTTTTTTAAATGTTTTAATAAATCCGAAGTTGATATTTCTCTTACTAAAATAGCTTGGTTATTAAGATGGGCTCATACTGACCAATCAAAACTTGACATATCAGTCAAATTCATGCAAATTATCCACTTGCATATCATTTTTCTTTTTAGATTTTAGTCTTGCGTTATCCTTAACTTTTTTATTCTTTCACTTAGTTATATCGTTCTAATTTCTTTGTTAGTTTCATTATTATTGTGCCTACTCTCCTTGTGCTGTTGAGTTCCGTCATAATATATCATCCTTCTTATTATTCACATTCCATTTTCAATTTTCATTTCAATCACTTGAGGTCATCCAAACTGCTCATCTGAACATGAATTAATTTCTAGAATATTAATTATTTTAATCACATTATTTTTCACTTAAGATGCCCTTTTTTTCTCATCATCATGGGACAAAATTATTTTGTAAGATCAAAAGAAAGGGCTTGTGTGGCGCGACAATGGGTAAAACAAGCAAACTCAAATGGATATCCAATGTAACTAGAAACATAAGAGGCAATATATAATTAAAACTTGGTACATTAAAGTGAGTTACAACTCAAACAGAAATTACAATAACTTTTTATATCAAGAAAGATAGGCATCATATGACATCTATACCAATCCATACACTTTAGTTCACACTATGAAATGCAACATAGGTAACTCAAACGTCTTGAGTTCAACTCACGCTATTATAGGCTTAAAGGTAGTTTATGTGACTATGAGTAATTAGGTAACATAGGAGATGAAAGGGATAACTTGACAATTCAGGGAGTAGTGGTGGTCTGAGATGATTTGAGAGTAGGGATAGGCATGTCTTTTATGGCTGGAATGGTGGGAAATATAGACTTAAGTAGGTTAATAAGATCAGCAAGGATGGGTAATTCAGGCAATTTTGACACTTCCAACTTAGGAATAGACGGCTGTTGGGGTTCTGGTAAAGTTGGAAGCTTAGGAAGTGATGACAATTCAGGCTTAGGAAGCTCAGGCAAATTTGTCTCCACAAGGTGGCGAGCCTCTGCCGGAATTGTGTTGCCAACCATGGATGCCAAGGAGATGAGCAACAGTGGCAAGACAAATGACGGGAATTGGTTATAAGCCATGTTTGGGATAGTATTGATAGAAGAAGAAACTTTTGGAAAGGATGCGAAGTTGGTTATGCTTGGATTCTCATGGTTGTATATATGGGTTTTTATAGATGAGGGAATAGGAAAGTATCAGATTTTAAAGGTTGGGTTGGTAGGAAGATTTGTGTCTTGTTAGTTCAACTTCTCTATCTATATCAATTAATTGTATCATGAAAACTAGTCCACAATTTTATAAACTTGTTTGCTTGGTGATAATTTTGTTTTTACCTAGTCACGTGTATAGTTGAGGGTTTGTTTTGACATAATCAGTAAGGCTGAACAAGGAATCCGTGAAATTCGTAATCTGATCCAGTCCAGTCAAATCCGATAGGTTTGAATTGGTTTTTTGAATCCGCAGTTCGATTCCGAATTGAAGAATTAAAAATCCGTAGTCCGCGGATTGGTTCCGGATTGAACCCCCGAGTTCTGGATTGGAACCGATCCGGACCATATACAAATAGTCTATATTTTTATTATACATCATCCCCCATAGTATCTTCTCTTATTCTATATAAATCTAAACTCAAACCTAAAACCGTATAATATCTTATTTTATTACTTTTGTTTGTATTTTCTTATAGTTGTTTAAATTCAAGAACAATATGTCACTATTATAGAAAAACATGTTGCTATTATGGAACTGATATAGCGCTATGTTTATATTTTTATGAAATTAAAGTGTTATATATATATATATATTTTTGTTATTTAATTATGTGAATCCGTGATCCTAAACCGATCCAATCCGTATTTAAATGGATTGGTTCGGATTGGTTCCATGATTTAAACAGATTTGATTGGTTCCAATTTTTCAGGAACCGTAGATAACGGATTGGTCCTGGTTTTACCCCAATCCGGTCCAATCCGGACCATGCTCACCCCTAATAATCAGTAAAGGCACATGATATTCTGTTTCTAAATGTATGACTTTACAATTTAATGTATTTCTAGTCGTATATCATGTCACGAGATTTTTGTTTATTGAAATGTTTTTTGTATCGTGTAGATGAAAATGCATTGAGAACAGAAAAATAAAAATTTGGAGGACAAAAAATCATAATTACTTTTTTCTTAAAGACTATAATGCAACTAACATATACTTCATGGTATTAAAATGGTATCTAACATGAATGACAGGCACTAACAAAGTTGCACTATTAGTTAAAATAAGGTAAGAAAATGTTTTCCAAGAAAAGGGCAAATGGTCCAGTACAGATGGTAAAGTCATTGCAGGACTACCCACCAGCCAAATTCACTTTTAAATGTGTGAGAAAGACTTCTCTTGACTTACAAGTTACAAGTTACAAGTTCAAAGTTCAACAATGGTGTTAGGAAATTGTAGTCACTCTGCTGGAAAATGGATAACCAACCACCCAAGAGGACCCGCATTTGTTAGTGAAATGCTTAATTTGGATGAGTGTTTCTATTGAAAAAGGAAAGAAAAAAAAAAAATGGCGGTATTTCTCAATATAGGGCTTTTGTCACTGTAGTCCACTATTTGAATTATTTGTGAAATTTATCAAAGTCCAAATTCATACCGCAATGGTTGTTTGGTTTGAATTTCAGGATATTCTTTTTAGAAAATTAAAATTTTTTGTTTTCCGTGTTTTTTTTTATTTTCACTGAATTTTTTTAATATTCTAAGCAATTTTTTTAATTTTTAGATACACTTAACATAAATACACTTAAAAAGTATAATATTTGTGAAAAAAAATCTTTACAAAATTCACTAAATAGCAAAAATATTAATAAAAAAATGAGAATTCAGTATATTTTTTGTATTCTTATGTATTTTTTGATTTTTAAAAATGTTTTTTTACAAATATTTATTTTTTAGATATATCTAAGTAAAATGCATCTAAAAAAGTAAAAAAATAATTTTGAAATTTAAAAATATTCACTAAAAACAAAAAACAAAAAACTCAATTTTCAAAAAAATAAATCCAAAAAATTGAAACTAAACACAAGTACTCAAATCTTGAATTAGAGTATATAAGAACTGGAGTCCTAAGCTTGTTTTTACACTACCCAAAGGAGTATTTCTTTAGCATCTTTTCTTTTTTGATAATCGAGAACTCATGCTAGGCAGAACTAAGAGGGAATGCAAACTCATAAATGACATGAGAAGCATACTCACTTAACAGCTTAAATGGCCCCTCAAGGGTTTTCAACATTTCAATTTATCTATCTTTTTTTGTACAAGTGGAGTACTCCATTGTTGATCCACCTTTTTCTATAAGTTGAATATATATTATTAAGCTCATTTCATAATAACTCAAGTTCTAGAGCCAATAAGTGATCTAACTCAGGCCTCATTTGAGAACAGATTAATTTAGTAATTTTTTTATTATTTGGCTAAAATATGAGTTAAAAAAAACTAATATGTTTGGGATGACTTTTTGAATTTTTACGAAAAGATGTGCAAAAAAGTAGAGAGAAAATAGAATCTTTGACTTTTTGGTATGAGTTGTTGACTTTTTGACTAATCTAATTTAGTAACTTTTTAGCTATTTGGCTAAAATATGAACTAAAAAAAACTAGTATGCTTGGGATGACTTTTTGACTTTTTACGAAAAGATGTGCAAAAAGTAGAGAGAAAAGAGAATCTTTGACTTTTTGGTATGGATTGTTGGCTTTTTGGCTAATTTAGTAACTTTTTGACTAAAATAAAAGGTTCCCAAACGAGGCCTTAATAACTTTTTAACTAAAATGAAAGGTTCCAAACGAGGCCTCATAATTATAATTTCAAAAGGTCTTAAATTTAAGTCATGAGTCCCGTAAATTTTATATGCATTTGTACACTTTGCTCCACATACAAGAGATTAGAGCATTTTGCTCCACATACAACAAGAGAGCGTCGCACGTGAGTAGTGTTATTAAGAAAGCTTGGCATACATTGTTGGTCAATTTCTTCGTATCTTAATTTTTTGAGTAATTGTTTGTTTCCTTTGCATTTGAAATAAACTTTGTTACAACTCGTTGTAATTGAAAATTTAAGATAACGATCACTCCACTTTCTTTCTTTATCTCTGGTTGTCTTGCTTTCTCCAAATTAAAGATAACTGCAAAGATAACTGCTGAGGTGAATTGTATTTCATCATCTTTTAAAAATATGTGAGGAAAAAGCATAGAAAAAAAGGATCAAAATATCCCAGGAACACAAATTCAATCGAAATAATAAGGGTAAACAAACCTAACTTGCATATAGAAGAACAAAATGAAAATTACATTCAGCCAAAATAAACAAGTACAAGTTAATCAAGCCTAAACTTGATTAAGTAATTAAGAGATTAACATACATTATATTCTAGTTGGTTGCGAGGTTTGTAAATCAAGCATAAGCTTGAACGAGTCTTTTTAAGTATAATTTAAAGCCAGAAAATAAATAAATAAAATACCAAAGGAAAGATTAAAGAGTACAATCAAGACCAGAATTCTCGGTTTTTGAGTGAGTATTTGCCACTTTCCTCCCTCAAACTACTTTGCTCGTAATCAAGTGTCCATTTCTCAAAAGTACAGTCGACAAAGTTATAGTAGCCCCCGTGAATAGAAAGCTTCCCTTTTGTCACCCTTTCGTGTATCCATGGGTAGGTCAGCAAGCTCATCAACGAACGGTTGATTGATTCCTGAAAGAGAGGGATATAAATGGCTTAAATAACTAGCAGGAGTCAAAATCTCAAAACATAGCACAATGTGCTTCTTCAGTCCATTCTCTGTACTACAGATATAGAGAACCACATTTCATGAGCTACACCCATTTTGTAAATGGTGATATGATAATGACCAGCTATATAAAGGAGACACTTGAATTGAGTGCACCAAAGAAGCTAAAAGTTCCACCTATTGCCTATTGTCTTCCACTAGGGTTGTGTTAGATTCATGGATTGGATTAGGTGGGATAAGATATCCCGGCACACATAATCCCAATATGTCTAACCCCTGCAAAAGAGTTACCCCCCAAATGAATTGTCCCACCACCCCCCGGGCCACATGGGATTAGTTATCCCCAACCAATTTTGAGCTATCAAATGTGGGAGTATTTATCCCACAATTATTTAGTACAAACCCGGTCCCCTTATCTATGAACAAACGAGGCCAAGAAGTCCAGGAGGCTTATCCCATTGATTTAGAACATAAAGAATCAGTAGCCTATTTAAAATCAAATACAGTAAGGGTGTTGAAAGGATATCATAGCCAAAATAATATGATAAAATAATGCCATCACCCAATATCAGTCTCACAAAATATGGAGTGCTGAAGGGTGGCTGGACGCGGACATAAACTCCAGCATTAGTGGATAACCCTAGCTTTTACTAATTGCAGCAAGCAATGCCCCCTAAATTTTATTATACGATAAATATTTGAATTACTTAGATGCTGAAAAGGAAGTCACATAAACCCCAGAATACCCCAGAATTTTTTGTTAAGTTCCGTGGCATGCATTTTATTTTAAAAGGAACTGTTTTTGACAGTTAAGCACCCTCATTATAGATGAAAGAAGTTCCCCCCCTTCCCAACCAAGTAACACATACACTACTAAATCTCTTAACACAACTTTAATAGAATAAAAAAGAGAGCACCTTTTCACAGTGTCTGCACTGCTGATCAAAACTTAGATTAGAAGCAACAGCCTTCGTGCTTAACCTTGCATTCTTCCCAACAACTACCCAACTTCTGATAAAGCTACTGGAAAGCATAGATGAAATGAATGACAAACATGGAAGCACACCTCTTCAGTGGAATGTGCGCTTGCTTGCTTACTTGCACGCATGTGTAAGAGTGAGAGAGAGATGAAAAATAGAAAAGATTGGAATTGGCCGAACCTTGAATTTACATCATCTTGCATGCTCATAAGGGCACGAATACCTCCACAGCAGCTGTGGCCAATGACTAGTATATTTTCAACCTGTAGAAAATTTTATATTTACCAAAATGTTTTCCCATCAAAGTTTGTCGCCAAATAGAGTGGCCAATTTGTTTGACACATTGATATCAAGAGGTCAATTACAACAATTCCAGTCATCTGATATATTTGTGTACGGTATTAGTGACTTAGTCACGAAACATAGAGACAATATTTTTTAATCATGAATCAGCAATTCCAGATTATTCATTATTGCAACTATATCATAGTCCAATGTAAGCAACTCCAGAATGAGAACATAAGCTTCATAATTGGTTACTAATTGCTATACTTTTGCTGACAATTCCCTTTCTCCAAACTTATTCTTACTTTATCTCTTCTTCTTTTTTTGAATGACAAATGATGTCAAATTCTTTCGGATTTTTGAATTCCTAACATGTCAGCTACAGTCCCAGTCAATGTGCAGACCATAAGCAACCAATAGTAACTACACACATTTTTTCTGCCTTGGTTGACAAAGAATAAAGCAACTTGGCAGAAGATTTGTCTACAGAAGTCACTTACTTCTAGAGAATTGACGGCAAATTCAAGGGCAGCATTTGTTTCTGTTGGTCCATTCTGCATCAGAAGATAAAAAAGCATAGGCCTATTCAGAATTTTGCTTCTAATACACTTATCACAACCATATATTTCCGTTCTCCCACATTTATGCTTACAATAAATGAAGAACCAGTAGTACTAAACTAAAGCCAAGAAAACACAAATGCAATGTATATGGTACCTCAAATGGGGGCACCAGATTTGCCACATTGCGGACTACAAAGGCTTCTCCAGGTTGAAATCCTAGGATGTAGGAGGGACAAACCCTAGAGTCTGCACAAGCAATGACCATGAACTGTTCTTGCAAGTGTCAGTTAAGAAAATCTTAACCACTTCAGCACAAAATTGAGGCAAATTGCCAATGTAATCCCCATATGGCTCCAAAATATATCATGGGCTAAAAAAAAGTTAACCCTAAAAAGCCCATCATACCTTCGGTGCTTGACTCTTGGCAAGATTTTCATAGCATTCCAAGTTCTCCCTGTTCAAAGAAAACATCACATCAGGGATACTCAATTTTCTGTGAAGCTAAACAACAAGATATCAGAATTATAAGCTTGCTTACAGGAATTTCTGCCTTTTGAAACTCAGAAACCGATGTTTCATTTCATTGAACAGATCAGACCCATTTCGAGTTCCTATTATGCTCTCTTGTTTGCTATTTGTGAGCTCCTGAGTCAGCCCTGGTGGTTCCATCGAGGCCTTCAACCTCAAAACAGAATTGCTCCTGTGAATTCAATCATGGAAGGTAAAAATTAAGAACAGGATACAAAACATGTTACTATGTTTAGTATCGGCAAAATACATAGTGCATATGTTTTAAATCAAATCAAATACATTCTTATCTCTTGGGCTCAATCCCGAGGTTGCATGGTAGCCTGTAATCTTAAAAAGAATGACTTTCCTATAAATCAATAATCAGACAATAAAATTAGAAGCTTATTATGTAAGAGTTAACACAACAAAGAAGAAACATGGCATTAAGGTCCTCCATTATAACCTATGAAGCACAAATACTTTTACAAGAGAATTGTTTCCATATCATACCCATATCTGATACCGGTACTCCTCTAATACTTGCATATATGTATCCAATACTTTCTAATGTATCCACAATTAGAAATTAATTTTCTATAATTTTGAATAAGTATCGGATAATTTAAGTATCCGACTTGTCTTGAAATTAAGATGTGAAATTTCTTGTTTAGCATATTACACACTGAGGCCAAAATTGATTCAGGGATAGGATTAGGCAAGAAAACTTATCTCAATGAAAGCAATTTTGGAATTTGATGACACTAATGTTATTTCGGGATAAAGCGTTGCAACACTCCCCCTTGGATAAAAGGCCCCCTCGTGATTAGTTGTCCAAAGTCAAAACGTTTGAACCAAAGGTGTAATTATTTAATCTAATCTTGCCCATTATCTGCTAATCAAACTCGGCCTTATATTATAATTGTTACTCCCTCCGTCCCAAAATATTAGTCCCTTATTCCATTTTTCATTGTCCCAAAATATTAGTCCCTCTTTATAAATCAAGTACAAAAATAATGTAAATTTCCTATTTTGCCCTTCTTTTAAATTAATAAACAATTTAAAAAGTACAATTATGACATTGATATTCCCAAAAAATGTACTATCAAAAGGGTAATTTTGGAAAATCAACTTTTTTCAAATGCAATGAGTGTACTACCAAAAAAAGTTGAATTCCCCAAAAGGGACCAATATTTTGGGACGGAGGGAGTAGAATAAATGAAATAATAGTTTTCAATACTTTGCCTACTCCTAAAGAAAAAAATTTAGAAAATAGTGAGATTAAAGTATGTCAAATTTGGTTCATTTTTGTGTCCAAGTGATGTAACCTTGACTTTTTTTATTTATTTTATGTGAATACAATATAAATTTGATATTGGGAATATCTGATAGATAATTAAAGACAAATATGTTATGACAAACTTACTTTTTATTATGATATATGTACATTATACACATATATCACTGTATTCTTAACATATTCATATCCTACTTTTTAGAATTTGTCGTATCAACATATCTATATCATGCTGTACCAGTACCCATATCCCATACTTGCATCAATGCTTCATAGATTATAACAAGAATTCAATCATTTGAGAGTTGAGAAATGAGACATGAAGAGATGCCCAAAAAGAATAATGTAGAAAGTAACAAATATAAGTACAACTGCAATATCTTCCAAATTAGGAGAAGGAAAACACAATTCAGTACATGTTTACACGTGCACATGCATACACAGTATCAAAACCAAGTTCTAACAAACTGTTTGGACACCAACTTCAAAATTTCGTAGAGTACAAAGGACAGAAAGTTCTGGGTCTTGCTAAAATTTGAGATTTTGTACAAGAATCACTCAGAATACACTGAATTTCAATTTGAGACCAAATTTTTATGCTTGAATTGACAGACTTCTTCAGCAGTGTCTTAATCATAATCAATCCTTATTATTATGTTAAATTAAAACCGTGTCAGACATTTCATCAAATATTCAGAGTTCAATGTACATTAGCATAATAAAACAACATGTCAGGAGCAATCAGATTCAGAATCTAGGGTTAAATGCTTCAATTGCAATTCTAAATTGCAATTCTAAATTACAATTCCGACCGAAAAGGAGAAAACAAGGGCTAAAAGACATCTCAGAACCGGTAGAAAAAAGAGAATTCAACAAAGAAAGAAAGAAAGAAAGATTTGGAATAACCAAAAACTTACTTGAAAGAAATGGGCAAGCTCAGATGGGTCTGCTCAATTTCCACTAATTTCAACTGGGTACCAAAGATCTGCTCCAAATCAAAACAATAAATCAATCAAGACTACAAAAATTATGGACAAAGAAAGAAAGAAAAAGAAAGAGAGAGAAAGCTCACAGTTGAGGGTGAAGCTGAGATTCCGGGAAGGTCAGAAGAGAAGGATTTGTAGGAAAGGGGTGACAAGGAAGAAAACCCAAGAAATGCTGGAGCCATTAGAGAGATCTAAATCCAGATTGATGGAGGACATGTAAAGATGAGCAAAGAAAACACTTTTTCATTATCATTACAACCCATCATATATAGATATAAATGGGGGTGAGGTGGGGTGTATAGTTGGTTGTCGGATCAAAGAACATTTGTTTTTGTTTCTCTCCAAGAAAGACGGAGAAACCAATGTGAACACACACAACACAACACAACAACAATAGCTCTTTTCTTCACCGAAAGGCCAACCCATCTTTAATTTTTCAAAATTTCCAACTTTGTTTTTTAAATACTGAAAATAAAGCCTGACTGTATAAATTTGGCTGTTCAAAAAAAATTACTTGATGGGTTAGGTTTTAGGTTTGCTTGAAATAGAAAGTCGTTGGCTGCTGCTGCAATTGTTCGATTCAACAACGCAAGAGCCTTGCTTGGCCCTAAGGCCGTGTTTGGTTGCTGGTTTTGAGAGTGGGATCGGATCACAGTAAATTAATTAGTTGAAACAATTACAAATCGTAATAAAAAAATATTTTAAATAAAAGCGAAAATATTTATTATTTTAATTATTAATATTTATTATTTTTTTGTAAATATTTTTTCTAATTCCACTTAGGTGTAATCCTCCCAATTTAATTACATGATTTTTTATTAAATAAAATAGACATATGAACAAAAAATATTAGATGTTAAAACAATTATATTTATATGTATGAGTTATGCGAATATTATGTAAAATATTTAATTTGTTTAATATTCCTAGTATTGAGTAAATTATTTTTAGACTATATACGTTCTAAAAATTCAACAATGTAAGATGATTTTAAAAAAACAATTAAAAACAACCGATTTTCTCCTTCTTTTTTTTTTCTTTATAAGAGTCTGTATGATATTTTCCTTCGTAGGAAAAATTCTTTATAAGAGTCTTTTTCATTTTAATAAATTTGATCAATTTTCTTTTGAAAATATAATAGTGACATTTTTTTTTTACTTTTTTTTTTACGAATTTCAAATTCAAACACATTCTTACAAAATTAGGGCTTTGTTCGGCGGATAGATAGGGGTTTTTGGGAAGTTGTCAAAAAAAGTTAACTTTTTAGCTTTTCAATTTTTTTAGTTAAAAAAATTAACTTTTTTATCCAAAATAACCTGAATAATATTAGGAATCATAAAAAAATTATCAAGAAATGTATCATAAAAAATTTTCATCCTTTGATTAGTATATGGTGTTTTATTATATATATATATAATCCAAAGGTGAAAAACCTTTCATGATCATTTTCATGGTATTTTTTTCATGATCCCTAACATTACTCAAACAAGTCAGATTTTGATAAAAAAAGCCACTAAAAATTAAAAAATCAAAAAATTAATTTTTTACTAATTTTTCAAAACACCACGTAATCTCCATCTAACTGAGTGTTCAATGGGTGGGTTGGCCGATTAGAATGTTTAAGTCATTTTTTTTGTTTTATTATTACAGGTTACATATCATATGCATTTTTTTTTCTTTGAAAAGGGGCATAATAGCATTTTCATTGTTTTAGGCTTTTAGAAAGTATTTTTATTTTTTAGATTTTTTATTATTTTAATCCGGGTAAAAAAGTCTCGTTTAGGGAAGATGGTAAAAAGTGATTTTTTGACTTTTAACCAAACTTTTAACTTTTTTACACAAATGATTTGGAAAATTGGTAAAAAGTGACTTTTGATTTTTTGATTAATATTTGTTTATGATGTCAAATCATAATAAAATGATCAAACTACCTCCATTTATTTAAAACATTTACAACTTCACCTATGTAACACATTTTGACCCATGAGGGGTAAAATTGTAATTTCACCGTTGGCTAAAAACCAACTTCCCAAATGAAAAAAAAGCCAAAAAAGCCAACTTTTAACTTTTGCTACTAACTAAAAAAAGTGGCTAAATACTATGTTGCCAAAACAAGCCTAGAAAATCTTGTTTGGGTTGAATTTTTTGTTTTTTAGCCTAAAGCTAAAAAAAATCTCGTTTAAATTGGATTTTTTTGACTTTTATGTGGAAAAAGTAAAATGATTATAATTTGAATACGACGTTTTATCTTATTGATTTTTTAACTTATTTTGTCTTTTTAAAAATATTTTGACCTGATTAGCCCCATGCTAAATGAGGGCTTAGGGGTGTTTTGGAAAGTTGACTTTTGGCTTTTTACCAAGCTTTTTAATTTTTTAGAAAGTGATTTTAGAAGTTGATAAAAAACTGACTTTTTGCTTTTTAGTTTAACATTTATTTATGGTGTCAAATCAAATTAAAATGATCAAAATATCCTTACCCAACATAAGAGATTTATTTTTTTAATTTTTTTTCATAGGCCATAATTTGTAATTTTACAACTGTGTTTTTAGCACTTACCAAACCAATTTTCTAACGTTTTTGACACTTACGTTTTTAGATATTTTATCCAAAAAAGTGACTTTTTGCTATGTTTCCAAAATTGTACTTAGGCCTCGTTTGGGAACCCTCCCTTTTAGTTAAAAAGTCAAAAAGTTACTAAATTAGCCAAAAAGCCAACAACCCATACAAAAAAGTCAATGATTCTCTTTTCTCTCTACTTTTTACACATCTTTTTATAAAAAATTAAAAAATTATCCCAAACATACTATTTTTTTTGACTCATATTTTAGTCAAATAATTAAAAAATTATTAAATTAGACTGTTCTAAAACGAGTGTGTTTAACAGTGCTGGCTTTGGGAAAAAGCCACAAAAGCGGCTGCTTTTTACCCCCAAAAATTGATTGAAAAAAGGCCCCCAAAAAAATTGAAAAAATAACGAAAAGTCTTATTTTCTTATTATTATACTTACTCAAGAGGAGCCCTAAAAATATTTATATATATATATATATATTGATATGATGAATTATTTAAAACTAATTTATGGTTGTTTTCTAAATACGTAAATTATAATTGATTATAGGTATTACTTACAATTGTTTATGAAAAAAATAAACATTTTAAATTTGAAATTGATTAAATCAATTATTCAGTGAAGTATGTTACAAGAAAGATTGAATAAGTTTGGTTAATAAGTTATTTAAAACAAACTTGATTAGTAATTTTATAGATAAACATAGGAAAGTTTTAAAAATTAAGAAAAATTTGAATTACTAACTAGTTCGATTCAATTAAAAAATGATTCAAAAATCAGTTCATATTAGAATGCGCTTTAAGATGTTTATATAAGACGCCTTATATTATAAGTTTGTTTTGAGCCTCAAGAAAAACTGAGCCAATCCTAATGTTTAAGTCATATATTTTTTTTTATTTTTTTTTTGCATGAGTTACATATTACATGTACTTTTTTAAAAAAACAAAGTTGCATAAGTATCACATAACCCAAAAGATATGAAAACTAATACCAGGGATAGGGGAGATGATAGCAAGGCAAAATAGATAGCTAGACAAAAATAATATAGTTGTCTAACTGCAAAAAAGAGACAGATAAATTCCAAATAGTTTGACATGCCCCAAAAGAAGAATCACATACACCATTTGATTAGGCATTAACTTAAGAAGAAAACAAGCTCACTAAAGACGGAACAATCAAATACCAGAAGTAGAAGAAAAATAAATAAATAAATAAATATAGAAAGTCCAATAATTTAATCATATATAAATCAAATAAGAAGTAATAATATTTGTTAATTAACCAAACTTATTTAGTTAACTACTCCAACATAGTCGGTAAAGTTTCTTGTAGCGATTGCTAGTATTTGGGTTGGGAATATGTATTGTTGAAATTTCTTAATGGTTGATTTGTTCAGTTTGACTAAATTATCTTGATATTTGTAAAATATAATATTATCCTATTAATCGGGAAAAAAAATTTAATTATTTAAAACAAAAAAACATAAAAAATTATCATTTTTTTTTTTTGTAAAATAAAAAGCTTGTTTGGTATACATAGAAGTTTAAAAACCAAATAAAAACAAAAATAATGAAACATGTTTAGTAACATACCAAAAATAGTGGTCAGCAGTGAAGAGTTGACAGATGTAGTGGTGATGGTAGTCGTGGCCATTGAAGGACTGTTCGTTACATATGGTAACTGTTTGATTGCGGAAGCCCACTCAAAGGTGGCCGAAGCTTGTCGAAACTTGTCAAAGGCCAGCCGATGGTAGTTGATGGCAATAAGTGGCCAGTTGTGATTGAAGGTGTTGAGGGAGAGAGAAAATAATGAGAACTTACGTTCAAAATAGATAGAATTGATATATTTTTTTATTTTCCAGAATTTTAAAATCAATTTCATATTTTGAAAAGAAAAACAGTATACCAAATAAATTTGTGCTTTCAATTTCTTAAAAAAAAAAACAAGGAAAAGGAAAACATTTCCAAATGACACTTAAATAGAGAATATGCGTTGAGTCTAGAACATTGTACACATGGGGCAATGGTGTCCACAACTACTTTTTATGGGCCCGCTATTCAAAGTTGTGTGTGGTCTAGAACAATGTACACATGGAGCGATGGTGTCCACAATAACTTTTTATGGGCCTACTATTCGAAGTTATTGGATTGGTAATTGAGAGCATAGCTATTATCGAAAGGCCATTCTTGCCCAAACAGCTTTGAAAACCAATAAAAGCATTACATAGGCCCATCTTCAAACTTATCAATCATTTATTGGCCCGTTTAGTAACTTATAACTGTAAACATAAGTTAATTTTTAACTTATAAATTAAGCTTCTCTTCCCCCACTCAAAGAATAAATTAATTTTTGACTTACAAAAAGTTATAAATTGTATTGTTAAGCTGAACCAAACACATCAAAATAGCTTAAATTAAGTTAAAAACTAAAATAAGTTAAAAATAACCCCTACTAAACAGGCCATTATTGTTTTCTTTTGATGAAGACATCCCACCCACCCACAAGGGTGATTTTTACATACAATTAAGAAAATTATATATATATATATTTTAATTTTATTACTTTTAAGATTCATTTTGTGTAAAAGAATCTAAACAATAAAATTTTGGAATTTTTAAATTTCAAAATCTATCATATTCATGCTGTTACAGCACTTTAATGCTTGCACCTATATTCTCCCCCTCCAAACAGTACTTTAAGTTTGTCATATTTAGTTATGTCAGATCACCATATGACCTTTGATCCTGATCATTCATAATCAGTCAATTAAAATAAAATGAAATAAAAATGAAACTTGAGATTCTACCACTTAAAATTTGTCTAGATAAATTTGTCGAGTAGTCTCAGAATAAATTTATGTTGTGCTCCAATTGAATAGTTATTGTTATAGATAGTGTAGTCGATCATTTTTGTGTGAGTATTTTAAATGACAACATGAATGTGCCAATTAATAAATAATAAGAACTATTTTGCCAAGAATACCTAATAATTTTTAGGACAATTACTAGCCGATTCTATGAACCATACTTATTTATTAAAAAGTCTACAACTTTTAGTGATAAATTTATTATTATAATTTTTAAAAATATATATAATTCAACTACTTACACTTTTCAAATCATATTTTAATACAAACTAACAAAATAAATTAAAAATAAATCAAAGCTTATAAACAAAATCGAAATAACTCAATTATTTATTACTTTAATAAATTTCTCCATAGCATTACTAATACCAAATGATAATTTTACAAAAGCAAAATACATCTAAAAAACTATTAAAATTTTCCTATTATCAAAACAAGAAGTAAATACTTAAAAAATAAAAATAAACTCAAAACTTAGGGAGCGGGTGTTTGGAAAGTAGCTATTGTTTAGGCATTTTGGTTTTTTTAGTCGGCTATTTTTATTTTTGTGTTTGGAAATATAAGATGAATTTTTATTTGAGTCGTTGTATTGGAAAATATGTTTGAAATAATGTGAGACTAAAATGACAAATTTGTCCATTATCTCACTTTTTTCAAAATTGGTCTAAAGGGGTAAAATTGTCATTTCCTATCTATGGGACAAGGTTGTCTGTCCACCGAGCCTACGTTGCTCATTTTTTTTTTTTTTTAATATAAACAATTGATTTTAATACTGTTGAGCCTATTTGGCTTTTTTCTTGAGTGGGGGCTAAAAGAGCCTCTCACTTCACTTCCCAAACACTGCCATAAAGCAGCACACTTTTTAGGTGCCTTCTAAATGAGAACTAGAATCCTCTCCTTACTTTCTTTCATTGACTTTTTATTTACTGGATCAACTTTTGAGCTCAATTTTGATGATCTGAATCATTCACATTTTAAGATTTGTTGAGTATATCATACTTGTAAAAAATCAAGTTGATTGGATATCAACAACTACGTGTTTGTATCATCGAACTAAAAATCATTTTTTTTTAAATTTAATAAATAGTTTTTCGAACACATATTTTCTAATATCCAATCACTTTGATTTTTTTTACAAATATGATATACTTAACAAATCTTAAATATAAACGATTTGAATTACCAAAATTGAGCCCAAAAATAGACCAAATAACCCAACAAATAGGGAGGTAAGGAGAAAAATTCAGAAGAGATCCTGATTCTCTAAATAGAGCTATGCAACACAGAAAATGGAGCCGAGTGAAAATGGGGGGAAAAAGAAAAAAGAAACATATTGAAAAATACTAATACATTTGAATAAATAAACCAATAACTCAAGATAAGTGAATCTCATCATCGGATAAAAGGCCTTGATGGCCAAATTCTTGACCTCCCAACTATGAAGCATGGACAGTTACAAGTACGGTATAACGGGAGTGTTTGTTTCAAATTTTCAGAATTAACTTATAACTTTTAGTTTTGAAAAAGTTATTTTAGACTGTTTGGTTAAACTTATTTCAAACAGCTTCTGATTCTAACAGTTTATTTTAACTCAAAAAAGCTGATTCTGAGAAGCTGCTCACCCCTTGTTTCTAATTATCAGTTTCTGCTGTGGACATGTTAATTTATGGTTATACTCTTAAATTTTTTATTTTTTATTTTTTTAAAAATAGAAAGACTCAAATGGACTATAGATTATTATTATTATTATTTATGAGAAATGTAGACAAACCAAACCAAACCAAACGAAGCCTTAAGTCCCATCAAATGGGGTCGGCTACATGAATCATTCTTCTCCACGCGGCCCTATCAAAGGCCATTTCATTGGTCAAATTAAGTAGATTCATATCTCTATTTATAACGCTAGTCAACGTTAATCTAGGCCTATCTCGTCCCATAACACTTCCATCTACCGTTACAGCATCGCATTCTGTTGGTCTCCGTTGAATATGACCAAACCATCTCAAACGATTCTCTCTCAACTTATCTTCTATTGGTGCTACTCCTACCCATTCCCGAATACACTCATTCCTAATCCTGTCCTGTCTAGTCTTACCACACATCCACCTTAGCATCCTCATCTCAGCCACACTCATCTTATCTACATGTTGTTTCTTAGTTGCCCAACACTCCGTCCCATACAACATAGTTGGTCAAATAGCCGTTCTATAAAACTTACCTTTGAGTCTAGTAGGTATTCGTTTATCGCACAATCCCGCCTTAATCCTATGGGCCACATATGCATCAATCTCTCTCGCTGTTGTGATAATTGACCCTAAATAACGAAAATGTTCACTCTTAGGCAGTTCTTGGTTCTCAATCTTCACTTCTCCTCTGCTTTCATTGTTACTGTTACTAAATTTACACTCCATGTACTCTGTCTTAGTTCTGCTTATCCGAAATCCTTTAGATTCAAGAGCTTTTCTCCAGATCTCCAACTTTGTGTTAACTCCTTCTCTAGTCTCATCCACTAACACAATATCGTCTGCAAAAAGCATACACCATGGCACGTCATCCTGAATATTTATCGTCAACTCGTCCATAACTAAAGCAAAAAGATAAGGACTTAAGGTAGATCCTTGGTGTAACCCTACAGTGATAGGAAATTCATTTGTTTCTCCAGCTGGCGATCTAATAGTGGTCACCACCCCTTCATACATGTCCCTAATCACGTCAATGTAGCCTTTTGTCACCCTTTTCTTCTCTAATGCCCACCATATTATATCTCGGGGCACTCTGTCATATGCTTTCTCAAGGTCGATAAACACCATATGAATGTCTCTTTTCTTTTCTTTATACTTTTTTATTACTCTCCTCAAAAGATAGATCGCTTCCATTGTTGACCTACCAGGCATAAACCCAAATTGATTCTCTGACGCCTCTATTATGTCTCGCAATCGACGTTCCATCACCCTCTCCCACACTTTCATTATATGACACATTAGCTTAATTCTTCTATAGTTGTTACAATTCTGGACATCACCTTTATTCTTATAGATTGGCACTAAAATACTCTTCCTCCACTCATCTGGCATGTTCCTAGTCAACAAAATTTTACTAAACAACCTAGTCAACCAAGCAACTCCCTTTTTACCCAAACACTTCCAAGCTTCAATAGGGATATCATCAGGTCCTAAAGCTGATGATGTAGACAAACAAAAAATAAAAATTAATTGAAAAAGTTATTTCACAGTTTATTTAACAAACACTACTCAGCAATTTAAATTTATAATCCAACAGCTATACCAAACAAATTAACAACTTCTGATTAAAGTCATAATCTATAATCTGTTAAGCTATAAGCCCTGTTTGGTAGAGCTGTGGGAAAGTACTTATAGCTTATGCCTAAACAGCTTATAACTTATAATTTTCAACTTAAGCTGATTTCCAGCTTATTCTTAAAGCATCTCCTGCCCCACTCAAAGAATAAGCTGATTTCTGACTTCCACAAAGCTATAAGCTATAAGCTATAAGCTAAACCAAACACATCAAAATAGCTTAAATTAAGCTGAAAGCTGAAATAAACTGAAAAAAAGCTGTACCAAACAGGGCCATAATCTATAAACTGTTTTAACAAGTACACCAAACGGGCAATATATAGGTACATCAATATGATAAAATAATAACATAAAATAAAAAAATATGAGTACAATTAGGTGAGTACATTTATAAAAAATATCTATTTTTAATTTGAACTAGTGCAAAAATTAGTTAAATAGTTTAATTTGTTAAAATCCAACCTACAAGTATATTTAATGTCAAAAGTAAAGACATAAATAATTTACAAATCATAACTTAATTTTAAAATCATGCTAAGCATAAAAAATATAAAAAAGAACAATGAAATTGACTTTGCCTTTGTATTAGAAGAAAATACCGTTCAATTGAGGTACGGAATGTCTTGAATATATACTAAATACTCCGGCACCTCAAAAATTAAGAAAAAAAAAATTAAAAACATATTTCGTGTATCCAATATGAATATAAAAGTACCATATGAAATATTAATATCTGATACGAGTACAACATGTTT